TTTCTGGGAAGCTTCAAAAAAAATTTCAGTCACTGAAAGTGATATTTTAAGTTGCTTGATTTGTTTTCCAACAGCAATCATTTTGTTTATGCTGTATTAGATGATCAAGGAGAACGTGATCGAGCACAATACTCATAGCTTGTTTTCAAGGTTAAAGTTAGTGGATCTGAAAATTTATATTAACTTTGATTTAATTTAAAATCAGTGCTAGCAAACTAGATACCATTGAAGTATTGATGTATCCTACATCTTGCTTTGGGTTTCATGTTTGCTGCTCATTTTTATCATCATTTAGTAGTTCATACAACATGTAAGAATACTATCTTATTTTTTAATGGTTAAAATCAGGGATGGTGCTAGAGGCAAAGATGTAATCCCAGACGCTTACATTCTTTAATGCTAGCGATGAAAAATAGATGCGAATGCCAGTATGAATAATAGTGGACATATCTACACAAGTTTTGGGGCACCTTTAATACAATCGACGTAACAAGACTGGCTGTCTTTAAATGTTTTTACTTATTTTGAAAGATAATCTTCCTTTTTTGTTAGTAATGCAGAAAAAAAATTATGCAGTGTGTATGTATAGAACAAGAAAACAGCATTCCGTAAAAAGAGAGTAACATAAATTCATAATATAATTTTCATAATAAAATGGAGATTTCACTCCGAAAATGTCCTGGCAAACGGCAACAATTTCCTGCAATTGATTTGCGCAACCGCTGCCCGCGCTGCCGAACATTTTCCAGCCCTGGTATTTTCTCACGTTCCTGTTGCATTTAGTGATATGGCAAAATAGTGTATTGCATTGCATTGCATTGCGTTGTATTGTATTGTATTGCATTGTATTGTATTGATTGTATTGCATTGTATTGCATTGTGTTGCAATATACTGTATTTTGTTGCATTGTATTGTATTGTTTTGTATTGTATTTCATTCATTTAGCCGCATTCATAAACTATTCGAAATCGGGCGAAATAAAGTAAACCATACCCTCGGTTAGGTCAAGTTTCCACTTGTTCAGCGGGTTCGCTTCCTCTGGTCCCCAGATCCCTCTTTCTCGCAGTAACTCTTTCTCCATAGCATACCAGCTCTTTTCAGCGGACTGGCCACTCAGCGAGTTCTCCTAAATGAATAACAACAATTAAAGAGCATACAGTTTCAATCAAATTATGATAATTATTGCTAAATATTATAATCCCTTTATTTGCGATGATTGCAGTAAAAGTTGTATTGCTAAGGGAAACGATGGCTAAGGACAGCGATAGCTAATAAGAACGACGGTTAAGGACAGCCTTGGCTAAGGGGAACGATGGCTAAGGACAATGATAGCTAATAGGAACGATGGCTAAGGACAGCCTTGGCTAAGAAAAACGATGGCTAAAGACAACGATAGCTAATAGGAACGGTGGCCAAGGACAGCATCGGCTAATAGGAACGGTGGCTAAGGACAGCCTTGGCTAAGGGGAACGATGGCTAAAGACAACGATAGCTAATAGAAACGGTGGCTAAGGACAGCCTTGGCTAAGGGGAACGATGGCTAAGGACAGCCTTGGCTATGGGGAACGATGGCTAAAGACAACGATAGCTAATAGAAACGGTGGCTAAGGACAGCCTTGGCTAAGGGGAACGATGGCTAAGGACAGCCTTGGCTATGGGGAACGATGGCTAAGGACAGCCTTGGCTATGGGGAACGATGGCTAAGGACAGCCTTGGCTAAGAAAAACGATGGCTAAGGACAGCCTTGGCTAAGGGGAACGATGGCTAAAGACAACGATAGCTAATAGAAACGGTGGCTAAGGACAGCCTTGGCTAAGGGGAACGATGGCTAAAGACAACGATAGCTAATAGGAACGGTGGCTAAGGACAGCCTTGGCTAAGGGGAACGATGGCTAAGGACAGCCTTGGCTAAAAGTAACGATGGCTAAGGACAGCCTTGGCTAAGGGGAACAATGGCTAAGGACAGCCTTGGCTAAGGGGAACGATGGCTAAGGACAGCCTTGGCTAAGGGGAACGATGGCTAAGGACAATGATAGCTCATAGGAACGGTGGCTAAGGACAGCCTTGGCTAGGGGGAACGATGGCTAAGGACAGCCTTGGCTAAGGGGAACGATGGCTAAAGACAACGATAGCTCATAGGAACGGTGGCTAAGGACAGCCTTGGCTAGGGGGAACGATGGCTAAGGACAGCCTTGGCTAAGGGTAACGATGGCTAAGGACAGCCTTGGCTAAGGGGAACGGTGGCTAAGGAGAGCCTTGGCTAAGAAAAACGATGGCTAAGGAAAGCCTTGGCTAAGGGGAACGATGGCTAAGGACAGCCTTGGCTAAGGGGAACGGTGGCTAAGGAGAGCCTTGGCTAAGAAAAACGATGGCTAAGGAAAGCTCTAGCTAAGGGAACGAATGGCTAAATACCGATAGCTAATATGGAACGTGGCTAAGGACAGCTTGGCAACTAGAGGAACGCTATGGCTACGAACAGCTCACAAGCGAACATGCTATAGGAACTTGTGCTAAGGACAGCCTTGGCTAAGGTAACGATGCTAAGGACAGCCTTGGCTAAGGGAACGATGGCTAAGGACAAGCCTGTAGAGACAAAAGCCTTCGGCTAAGAAAACGATGCAAGAGAAAGCCTTGGCTAAGGGGAACGATGGCTAAAGACAACGATAGCTAATAGGAACGGTGGCTAAGGACAGCCTTGGCTAAGGGTAACGATGGCTAAGGACAGCCTTGGCTAAGGGTAACGATGGCTAAGGACAGCCTTGGCTAAGGTGAACGATGGCTAAGGAGAGCCTTGGCTAAGAAAAACGATGGCTAAGGAAAGCCTTGGCTAAGGGGAACGATGGCTAAAGACAACGATAGCTAATAGGAACGGTGGCTAAGGACAGCCTTGGCTAAGGGGAACGATGGCTAAGGACAGCCTTGGCTAAGGGGAACGATGGCTAAGGACAGCCTTGGCTAAGGGTAACGATGGCTAAGGAAAGCCTTGGCTAAGGGGAACAATGGCTAAGGACAGCCTTGGCTAAGGGTAACGATGGCTAAGGACAGCCTTGGCTAAGGGTAACGATGGCTAAGGGTAACGATGGCTAAGGACAGCCTTGGCTAAGGGGAACGATGGCTAAGGACAGCGGATGCTAGGGACAGCAATAACGAGCTTGCAAAATGATCTACAAAGAACTACTTTCTGAAAAAGTATGATGAACAAATGGGAATTTAAAAAAATAGGCAATAAAAGTGCATGCAAAGATGTGAAGGCAATCAAAATGCCGGCAAACGGAAATTACCTGCTGATGCCGCTCGTAGTAATATCGGATAACCGCCTTGACAACGACTGAGTGCCGTGAAATCCATCCTAAGGATTCCTGTAAAGAAAACGCACAGTACTTCTGTAAGTACCGAAATGTTTATACAAACAAAGGGTGGGGATCACCTTCGCAGTACTTCAATAGCAATTAGATACATTATTATCGCATGTTTTGCATTTCCTTTGTAATATCTCCATTATCTAAGCTCTAGCAGCCATTTGCTCTTTACATGATATCTGAGGTAACTTCTGAGCTAACTAATAAACATTAAACATTGCTCAATTGCAATGTGATTTAACAGCTCCATCGCAATTTGAATGAGAATTTGAACATTATGGTAGAAATTCGAATCCCTTGACCCTATTTGAAAACGACTGGCATGTTTTCGGACAACAATTACGGGCATAGACCCAAGGAAATAGTACCAGAACTGAAAACAAGGCCATCCATTGCTAAGGGATGCTGCTCGAAGAAATTACGGAAAAACAATGCTTTGACTTCAAAACAATAGAATGAAGGAATGTGATTGGTTGGAGAAAAGCGTTTTCTAAAAAAATAGAGTTCCAAGTGTGAGCTCATTAAAAGTATTGGCAAAAGTTTTGACTTTAGACCACGCTCTGTTTCCAAAATTGCCCATCACTTACATATTAAGCAAAGAAAAAGGGTAAAAAACCTTGACTGTAAACTTTTCGTCTGCCTCTTTCTCTTTGCGAAACTTCATCGAAATCCTCGTAACTGGATTACGCGTGGCTTGCTGCTGCAATGAAGGAGAATCGATGAATTAGTACAGGACAGAAGTTGAGGGAACAGTTAAGGGAAGCACAGCGACTGACAAAATGGCTGAAATATTTGCAGAATTCATACCTGCTGCGGAAATGAAAAAACTTCATTCTTTTTCTTCGTTTCAACAGTAATAAAATTTATCCAAAACCGCATGCATTGCTCTCCAAACAAACTCCTAAGTAAAAATAAGATCAAAGCTCATTCCATACCGTTAAACCACTGGGCTATCAGATACACAAATATTTTTGTCAATGAATCGAGGCAAGACTAGCCAGCCTTGGAAACGAGGGACCTAAACAAGTAAAGAAGAGGGTGCCATGTTCATGGTTCTGGCCAGGCATGACTTTTATTCACTCAGCAATCACAGCTAGAGGTTGACGTTCCTCGAATGTTTAAGAAAAATTAGATCTAAAATTATCAATTAGAATCCAAATTTTTGACTAAAACAAAGCACCAAACGTCGCAACTTACTTTGCTGAATCTAAATCGAGCGTCATTGACCTTCCCGCACCTCTGCAAAGAAAGGTAAGACACATAAAGGTAAGACACATAAAGGTAAGACACATTAAAGAAGCCATTGTTAAGTGGGAAACGAGTATTGTAACAGCTATAATGCATAACGCAGAACAATGAGACAGAAGTCAATAGAGCACTCACACTTCTTCGTATGATGTGAAACTGGGCGTTAAGGAATGGACTCTGAAAACATCTGCTATTTCCTGAAACGGCGAGATAAAAAAATTGAGATCAGCGGGGCAGTACGCGCGTTGAAAAAAGATTTCAAGCGTAAAACTGAATTTTTTTAAATACACAGCAAGTAACGTGCATGTAAAATCGAATTTGAGCACTGCTTCTTGGTTGCATGACTTACATCCTTTTTCTGTTGGTAAAACACATCCCACACTCGTTTGGCTGCAGAAGACACCAAGTCAACGAAGCCAATCTCGTCTTCTTCTTCAGTTTGCTCAACTAAGAAATCAAAGCTGCTTTTAGTGAAGCCTTTGCACCAACTGAAACCTGACAATACTTGCACAGTCTTTATCTCATGAAATAAAGGATTTCTAAAAACATTCATAAAAAAGGTCGAGTTTCTCTGGTTTTCAAAAAAGATTGTCGTTTCCGAAGAGCTTACATAAGATAAGAACTTGCCGTACCCTTTGCATAAGATAACAGGGCCTGAAAGGCTCTTTTTTGCCCACTCTCGAATACTTAATAAATGGGGGGGGGGGTTAGAATAATCGGGGGGAGGGCGTTAGAAACAGTTCGATATGATAACAGTCGGGGTGTTGGAGAAATTAAAAAAAGTCATTTATCGTTTTTATAGTTATAAACTCTTCTTTAATATGAATTAAATTATGTTACTGATAAACTGTACTCATGACACCTTAGTCTGTTAAATGGATTTGACGAAACTTTTCTATGGCGCCCCATGACGTACAAAGATACTCAAGCCAATATTCGAGGTACTTTTCCGCATATAAAGATTACATCTGTTTTGGTACGAACTCTCTCACAGACATCTCCATTAAGTAAACTTCACAAGGGCACTCTAACAGAGAATTTAATGCTCATGATCACTTCAATTTTGCAAGAAGTAAAATAGGGGAAATTTGGCAAATGGTTTTCTTGATATTGGAAAAGGCAAGTAACCACTAACCTTGCTTCTCATCGAGGTCTTCGCTTCGCAATGAAATCCCGTCCACATCAACATCGGTTTTGATTTTGCCGAGGCCAATCACGAGGAGCCAATGGGTTAAACACGCAATAAACTCTCCGTCGCGGTTGTTTGGTGAAAATATTGTCTTGAAATTGCTCGTCAATAAGTGCAAAAACTCAAGTAAACTGGTTTGATCTGCAATAAAATAATTTAATTTGAAATGATAAAATTGCTGGCTAGACATGAACGAATTCAGCAATGAATCAGTGAGATGCAGAAACAATTTATACTCTAAGGTTACAAATTAAGCAACATTAAAACAAAAAAGACCTGTGAACCGACCATTGCTGAGTAGAATTTGAAAAGATCCTTCTGAATAAAGAGCAGAACAAAAAACTGAGCAAAAAGAGAAAAAGCATATAAAAACCAGAATACTGAGGAAACTGGAAAAAACCGAAAAAAAGACCCTTTATTCTAAAACTGCAACCAAACGACATTTCGGAACTTGAATTTATTTTAAGTACCTGTTAATCTGTTTTTGGGTCTGGAGAGATGGTAAAGAATAGCACGGTTCATCGCTCGAAATAAATGCTCGGGATTCACGCGGGCGTCTGAAAAAAAAACACATTTAAACCAATGAAATAACGCAGCCATAAAGGAAAGGAAAGTTACAAAAATCGACAAATTTTAATCAAAACAGTATTGGAATCAACATACCCTCGTATTTGTCGATCATCTTTAGAAGAAAGCCAAACAGAATTTCGTAGTCTTTGGAAAAAATTCCTGCAAAAATAAGAATATGGCATGTCTATCATTCGGCATCAATCATTTTTGGCATCAATTATTTGGCAACAATCATTCGGAGTCAATCATTTGGCAACAATCATTCGGAGTCAATCATTTGGCAACAATCATTCGGAGTCAATCATTTGGCAACAATCATTCGGAGTCAATCATTTGGCAACAATCATTCGGAGTCAATCATTTGGCAACAATCATTCGGAGTCAATCATTTGGCAACAATCATTCGGAGTCAATCATTTGGCATCAATCATTCGGAGTCAATCATTTGGCAACAATCATTCGGAGTCAATCATTTGGCAACAATCATTCGGAGTCAATCATTTGGCAACAATCATTCGGAGTCAATCATTTGGCAACAATCATTCGGAGTCAATCATTTGGCAACAATCATTCGGAGTCAATCATTTGGCAACAATCATTCGGAGTCAATCATTTGGCATCAATCATTCGGAGTCAATCATTCGACATAAGTCATTGGTCATCATTTTTCAAACTACACTACATTGCTAAGTGCAGAGGGGCCTAAAGTTATGACTGAAGAGATACATTTTGTATGACATAGGCCCCTTGTGATGCATCACAAACAAAATACATCAAAAGGAACAAGGAATAGAAAATAAAATGAGAACTGAGCTTTAAGCCTACATTATAGCAACGATTGACTGAATTGTTGACACACATCCTTCATTACTGAAATGCCGAGGATTAAGTGTTCTGAATTCAGAAATACTTACAGCATCGTTGAAATATGAAACAGAATGAAATGAATACCTAGCCAAAGTTTATCGACCAGTTTTGACGCAAACGCGTTGATATTTTGGGCGTATTTTGACAAACTGGTGTGTTTTGAAGACCCTACTTGTAGCAGGGAGCCGTCTAAGACATCATTAATCACTGCTAACAGAACATCAGATTGGTACTCTCGCAGGACATCTACATTTGAACTTGCAGGAAAGGCCTGTAAAAGAGCATGGCGCCAAAATAATAGAAAGATGGAAGTCAGGCAATATAAATTCTGGGCTGCAAATTATAATAGCAAATAGTGAATACTTTAAAGAAAAAGCTTAGTATGTACACTGTTATTTAGGGCCCTGTGCGAAATAAACAACAATTAAAGTTGATAAAACTTGGGCAGATTAAAGGAGGATTGGATAAACATTAGATAAAATATTTACATGTGCAGATTGTAGAGAAGGAATTAGATAATTATCTTATGTCTTATACCTTAGGTCCATTTCTTGCAGAAATGGGGACTAGACTATTGCAGAATCGGGATTCGCTTTGCAGATCACTTGAGCAAAGTCACACAAAAACCTTTTCTTCCAATTCTCATTTCTATCTTTGGAAACTTTACACAGATAATTTATCATTTTTGTGTTTTACCATTTGCTCGTTATCTAAAAAAGTTTAAATGGTTCACGACACATTGCATGGGATTCCGATACAATGTGCACACGTTTTCTTCATTACACAGTCAATTGTAGGTGGTCTGGCAAGTCAGCGCTTGGGATTTATTTCGGTTTATGTATATCTGCTACGCTGTTCAATTCTTCGTATCATATTAAGGCCCTGTTCACACGATACCGGATTCATTTTAGTACGGATCGCTTTTCATATCGGATAGCCCTTCTGTTCACACGATGGCGCTTGATCGATTACGCTCCGTATCGTTTTTGCGGAGTCAAACCATTCCGCTGCGGATGTGGGATGGAATTCATATCGGATCACTTTTTGAGCTCGTGTGAACGAATGAATCTGATACGGTTTCGCTCCGGAACCACTGTTTCGAAAAGGCAGCTTCATTTCGGGTTTTAAACAATTTGCACTCTTTTCAAGAATAAAATGACAGTGGATCGCAGTTAAACAATAAATTGCTCTTGTGCACAAGATTAATAGCAAGGAAGATCTAGATTGTTTTGAAAAATTGATTTTCGACATACTTCTTCTTCAAAAAACAGCGTATCAGTTCCGTCACGTCAAAGAATGCATTCAATCAGAAAAAGAGCAAACGGACAACATTCCACGTTGCTTTGCAACTGCTTTAAAACATGGATTTTTTCGGAGCAGTGTTGAAGCGTAGCGTTGCCGTGTGAACAGGAGTGATCCGAATACGAAATGAATCGGTATTCGTGAACAGAGCTTGATATTTGTATCTGATTGGGTGAGTGAATCCGATATGAAATCAATCCGGTATCGTGTGAACAGAGCTTGATATTTGTATCTGATTGGGTGAGTGAATCCGATATGAAATCAATCCGGTATCGTGTGAACGGGGCCTAATTCTTGAATCCGACCATCCCAGATAAATTGATCCACAATACATGAAGACAGGCATTATCATAACTCTATTGCCGAGTCGATGTCCATATTACTCCGAAATATTTGTAAGTTGTAGCACAATTCACACTTATTCCACCAACTTGGATGTTTAGTTGTCTTCTATAACAGAGATTTAGTCGCGTTGATGTTCCAAAAAGCATTGCTCCTGATTTTCCTTTTTTTAAATTTATTATCAGTTCATTGTCACAAAACCAGGAAGACAGATTCTTGACATCATAGTTTAGATGTTTTACATAATATTCAAGTCATTATATTAGGTAAAGATTACGGTATCATCTGCATATTCAATGACTTTTGTGTGCTTCAGAGTTCTGTTTGCATCATTTTAATGTATCAAAAATAATAATGGGCCATTGATGGATCCTTGTGGAACTCTGGCATACACGGGGGTGGCATGAGAGGGAGCTCCATTGTACTGAAGAATTTGTTTCCGGCTAAACAAGTGGTCAGTAAGCCATTGCAATTCGATGTTTGTGACTTCATTTGAAGGAAGCTTTGACAGGAGTCCTGCATGACTAATTGTATCGAAGGCCTTTGACAAGTCTTTGACAATTAAGTTAGTATAAAAAATGAAGGGAATCCAAAGGAGGAAAATAGCATTTGATCAGACAATCATTTAAAGGGGCTCAGTGCGCCATGGCCTACTTCAATGAATTGAAATGGCGTGGAAGAACAGGAGATGTTGATAAGCTGACTTTTATCTCATATATCTGATCTCATGGTTTTTATGCTAAGATTATGCCGGAGTCCAAGTTTTGTTTCTACAGCAGAATATATAGAATGTGGTGCGAATGGAGATGATCGAAGTTTGGAGATGAGGTAGCGTTTCTGTTGATGATCAATGGACAAAGAGTCACACATGTCGATGAATAGGCTGCAAAAAATACCAAGTGAACTGATGGAAAGATTGAGAAATGAAACAGACTCAAACCGATGTTTTAAGTCAGATACGAGGGTGGCATATTTCTCTGACTTTCTGACAGCATTGCAGTTGAGATTTGTTTCAAATCCTATGGCGAGCTCTAAAACGTACAGACAGGTTTCCTTAGTTTTGAGAAGTAAGTCAGGGCGTAGTTGATCTCCAGTTATGATAGGAGGGGAAAGAAAGCCTGGTAAATCTGCGTAGAGAGAAGACCCATTTATTGCTTGGATGGAAGTGGCTAGAAAGTTTAATGCAGAATTATGACGCCAAGTATAGCGGCCTTGGTCAAGGTACACTTTGCATTCAGCAACAACGTGTAGAAGTGTTTCTGGAAGAAGACAGAATTCACAGTCAGATGTTTGACTAAGGTTCCATTTTAGCAGATTTTCACAAGTTGGAAGAGTGTTGTTAAGATACTAGATAGTAAAGTTAAAGATGTTACTAGGCAAATTGCTCTGTGTACTTGACCAAATACCGTTCAACTTTTCCAGTGAATGTTTTAGTAGGAAGGTAATAATAATAATAATAATAATAATAATAATAATAAATTCGTATTTGCCCTAGTGTCCGAGCTAAAAGCTCAGTTAACATGAAAGGTATGTTTACTAGGCTTGTGTTATCCACTACATACATAATCACTTCATATAAACTGTGAGACACAAGATTTAGAAGTCATTCAATGCGAAAATGTAATATAGAACTTATTGTATCTGATCATACGCAAGGGCCGAGAGAAAATAGATTCACATGAATAACTTCTTAACCCTGTGTCTCAATATATAGTTGGCCATTATCAAATTTGATATCGAGCACCACTGTAATGTGCTCTTTACAATCAACTTATCTACTGACAATGATCTCATAACAGTCCAAACATCCTTTTTGATGCAACCAAGTGAGCCAAAGCAAAGCACTTTCAGATCCACCTCCCAACCTAACAACTGCAGCAGACTGCACAGCGGCTGATACCGTTTCTCTTTGGTGTTCAGTGCTTGCTCAAAATACAGATCGTAGCAGACAGTCACCTCTAAGATAATGCATTTACGTGACTGATTGTCAATGATAATGATGTCAGGTTTACGATGCGTAATACGCTGTAATTCATCACCATATTCCGTAATTAATTGATAGAGAGTGCGGGAAAATAACCGACCCGAGCGAGGCTCGAACTCACGACCCCTGACTTTGTACGTCAAGTGCTCTACCGCTGAGCTATCGGGTCGTGCTTTCAAGCCAACACCCAAGGCCGAGTCACTCACCCGCACTGCCCCTCTCTTTTACCAGATACACAGGGGAGCCATCGCAGCTCCATCACAAAGTGCAGAGGACCTGAAGAGTGAGAGAAGACTGCCCTCACCAGGAGGGCCATCGCAGCCCCAACACTGGATAGGGTCAAACACTGGATAGGGCAGAATCAATATTCCGTAATTATTGATTCTGCAAGTTTGTTTGCATGAAACTGGAAACCACTTATACTTCCTGAGATCACATCAAATATTTTGTCAGCAATTCGATTGTGACGTCTACTATAAAAGTTGTGAAACTCTCTACATCCATTCATCAAATGTGCGACACTTTCCGTGTGCTGATGGCAAAAGGGGCAAGAAGGGTCATTATCACGATCCCATACATTGATACGTTTGTTGGAAGTAGACTCAACCGTGCTTTTATTGCAAACTTCACCAGTAAATCACTTACTTTCCAGTTGTAAAAAATTGAATGGAAGGATTTTAACTGAACATCAGTCATGCAGAGAAAGGGGCCTTGAATTGACAATTGCTTTGCTTTTTGCAAATCTCAATTAACTGTCTGTTTGAATAGCAACTTCTGAAGTGGAGCACCTTCATCAAAAAATTCACCATTAATAATTACTCCAGCCTTTCCTTGCCTGAACTCAATGTAAACATCTAGCTTTCTAGCATATCTCAGAAGATCTGGCCAATCTGATTGACACCCAAATTTGGTACGACTATTCAGGTAGCCGTCTGCACTAATCTCAAACCCAAGAAAGTTCATATCATTATCTGTTGAAGCAACTTTCCGTTTTTCCATATCCAAATTAAGGGATTGACGTGCAATGTTCTTGAACTGTAATTGGAGATGATTCAACATCTTAATGAGAAATGCAACCCTTGTTGACCTATACACATCTGACACACGCTTAACTCCAATCCCTCCGTGCTCGCGTGGTAAGAAGATGATCAGCTGTGTTGTTGTTTCATACAAATCGTACATATTTCGAACTGCCTTCACCAAGGACTTTTCCACAAGTTCCAACTGCTCCTCTGTAAACCTTGTATTGTAAAACTGATGGAGAATCTTCCCGAGAGCCAAGTTATTTAAAGCACTAGCCTTTAGAGCAAGAGGCAATTTGCAGCTTGTTATTTTCTCCAATAAATCTTTATAACTTTCTATAACTTCATACACCTGCACAGCATCTTCGCCGGAAAGTGAGAGAGACTTTCCAAGATACTTATAGGACTTGTCACGGGGATAAACTTTGATGGCATTTCCTTGAATTGACACAGTTGGCTTTTTATCTGCCTTGCCTTTTTACCAGTTATTCCCAGACCTCCTTGCATACATAACTGCACATTTACTGGGTTTCACTTCTAAACCTGCTATCTTCATGGCAACTTGTCCGATATCAAACATCTCATTTATAATCGTTACGTCATAACTGACAACAACAACATCATCCGCAAAAGCTTGCAATGGACATGGATTAATCCTTCTTTCATCTTCGATACCCTGCCTGATAACAGCCTCTCTTACCATAGGCTTGCATACTCTGTCAATCACCAATATGAATAAAGGTGCACTCAAAGGTACACCTGTCTTTGTTCCTCTGATTAGATTGAATTCTTTACTCAATTCAAACCCACAAATCACAGAAAACGAAGAGTAACGGTATAGATCTTCGACCAAGCAACAATATATCAAAGGAATGTCAAATTCCCGGAGAGTTTCAAAAAGGAAACTATGCTCAATGCTCCCAAACGCATCCGCAAAGTCCACAAAACCTGCACAAAACTTTGTACTTAAGTGTCTGAAATCATCCATTGCGGCTTTCAAACTAAAAATCAATTCCTGTCTGTCACGATCGGGCAGGAAGGCACGCTGCCAAAAAGCAATCTCATTGGATATGTGTGGGGTGATTATAATAATAATAATAATTTGTCACACCCTCACCTCTAAAGCAGTCTCAAGGAGTGTGGTCGACTTTGAAGAGGATAATATGACTCCGTCCATTAAAATATGCTTGACAAAACTTATAATTCTTGATCGACAAGGATGGTTTGTCATTGTGCTAGAGTCGGCTTGCTCGTCGTCTTCTTCGGTCTGAAATGGCAAAAACCATTCAAGATAATCTTTATCGACTAGAAAAATCTTTATTTGGATTTTAACTTCCTGACAGGTCTGAATCTCAAAAATGTCATATACAAATAAATAAATGTAAATGATACTCTTTTGATAAAGTGTTTTGACAAAGTGTTTACTCTTTGACTGAAAAATTCTAGTGGAAAATCTTCGAACGATGATACTTCCACGACGCCAAACGCCATCTGCACAACCTTAGGAGGTTTCGAGTGCAAATTCACCGGAGCATTTATACGAAATAAAAGGAATATCGACAAAAGCAACAGAAAAACAACCTCAAAGGAATCTTCTTTCGACTCCAATGGATACAAAGCTGCAGCTAGATACTGCAGGAACTTCTTTTCCGTGCAGAAAGTCCCAAATGATTTGATGTTTGCATAAAGAAATTCCAAATACTGAATAACCACAGCAGGCAGAGAGTTTGGCTCCTTCGTGGCGGCTGGGATTTCGTCTTGCGGAGTCTAAATTTTGAATAAAAATAAAACAAAAACTAAATGAAAAGTTGCAATGAAAAGTTGTAAACTCGATGCTCGGCCAGTAACTGTCTTAACCGTAATACTAATATTTTCTGACAGATAATGAAAAACGTACCTCATTTATGACTTTGCGAAGCATGTGGAGGAGCACAAGAGCACTTTCAGGGCAATAAACTGACAATTCCTTCGACGAATTCGTCCTCTCAAAACTTGGCCGGAAAATCAACACGAGGTTTTCAAGTGAAAAATTCAAATCTTTAGGAACACCTGCGAATATGATTACATTATTAAATATTAACAAATTGGAAAGTTAACTTAAAACAAAATTCGAACTTTGTAAATATTATGGTTTCGTAACTAGATGCATTGGTTATAAATTAAGCAAGAAACTACCTAAACATTGAGATAGAAAATTACAAAGGAAAGACATTGGCATTTCTCAATCTTTCTTTCGAACAAACACAGACTTTGCTGGACTTAAAATAGGCTTGTACCGTTTTATAACAGCTTGCACTAATCTAGTATATTTTATTTTCTACCCAGCATCCGATACGAAAGTAGTTTCAGGACAATGAGAAGCTGTGCTTATCGAGCAATGTTTTGGTCCTTCCGCTCGATGTAACTACAGCGTCTACACCCCTCGAACTTCTTACGGCTGGGAATACCAAAAGATGACGACTCTCCACTCTAGGTGAAAGTGTGGTCAAGTCAGGGGCTTCTAATCTCGAACAAGAGGGCAATTGTCAAGGGTTGTTCATATCGTGTTTAATATGCAAAAACTTACTTGCTGTTGGGAAGCCAAGCAGCAGGGCAATTAGCAGGTAATACAACTCAACCAGATTGATGTGGTCTTCAAAAGATGTCATTAGAACACTGAATCCCTTGAAGGTACTGGCTTCAAAGTTCACTTCCAGCTCATGTTGTTTCGTTTCCGAGTCAGGAACGGCAAATCCTAAGTGTCCAGAGAGACAAAAGTCTAAGACACATCGTAAAATATATTACAATGTAAACTATGAAGATAGTCTTGCCTACTAATGAAATGATTAAGAAATGAATAATATTTTATTTAACTCGGTCGAACAGAAAAAGCCTAAAGGGACAACACTACAATCAGTTAGAAAAAAGCATGTTACGCTGGTGCTTAACCAACTTAGAAAAATACCTGCGGCAAATTTGGTCCGCTTGCTTAAAACAAGATGACTTTCTTTCAGCCAGCCTCCATTGGACGTCCCACTTTTAAAAGCATTCAAAGATGGTGAGTGGCCTAAGATTATAAACAGAATTCTTGCAGCTCGAATCACCGTGCTCTTGTTCAAATTGCCGAGGAGGAAAAGCATTATCCAATCGAACCCAAGAACGTCGTGAAGCTTTTCGCAGAAACTAAAACATAAAAGCATTAGAAAGATGAGGTCAAGGCCTGGAAATCGAAAATATAAGGTGTCAGTAATCTTATGTAAAATTCAAACAATGTTAATTCATTGAGAGATTTTGCATTCAATGAAAATATCTGCATTGTTCAGATAAGGAAGAGGGTAAGATAAAAAAATCAGCGCTTTTGCGAAGAGAAACAAGCAATTTTGAAACTAAAAAACACATTTTGATGACTGGGTGGACGAAAATAGTGACAAAGACAGACTATTTAACACAGACTCAAACTGGAGGGAGGGGTGGATGAGCAGCACGAGTTAACACCCGAGACCAAACGCTGCTGTCGTAAATTAAGAATTTATGGCAATCATCAAACAAATAGATAAATTTATGGAAAGATAAATATGACCGAACAAGACTAGGACAAAATGATGGCTTAGCAAACCAAGACGTCCTGCTATTTCATCTGGCAAAGTTTCTAAAAAACACATGACGTAAGAAAGAGCAAAAAAAAAGGATGCAAAAAAAATCAGTTCTGTTGAGATGATTAATGACTTCTTCTGCCCTACTCTTTTGGAAAAGATACAAGCATTTATATAACTTGTTAAAAAGCCGCCATGTAGCCAAAGAATGTTTTTGCTAAAAGAACGAGTCTTTAAATGGTATGTATTTCTTTGTAAGCCCATGCAGAAAGAGACAGTGCAAAAATGTTTGATTTAGAAGGTTAAAAGGTCCCATTGATACGATCAGGTTAAAAGGAGATTTTATGAGACAATGCTTACTGACCTTTGGTCAATATTGTGACCAAATCCAGAATCACACAGAAGGACGTGCAGAACATCTAGCAATGAATTTCGCATGACGACAGTTCCGTGTTCCGATGCTAAATACGTGGTTGCTGAGAAGGAGCAATTTAGATCAATGTCAGATTCGTTACTTGTAGAGAGTGTGCTTGCAAGAAATTGACCGAACCTAGAAAAGAAAAGGAGCACAAAATAAGAGAAATAGAAGATAGGAAAAAAACGAGAAGGAAAATAGAAAAAAATGGGACAAGAGCTTGAAAATAAACTGGTTCTGAAAATAAATTCTAGTGCCATTTTAAAACATTAGAACCTAAAATTGTAGCGCTGACGAGCGCATGGTTAGATAAACCAGAAATTTAAAAAATATTGAAGAAATATTAAATTAAGGCAAATAAATTTCTGTGAATACATTAAATTATGCAAATCACTTGGACAATAATTGCTGTGAATTTAAGAAAAACATAATTAAGTCTCGTCCACTATCATGAATACAATTTGTTCATGATATAGGAGCTAGCAATCCATCTGATGTTTACTTTATCATTCCTTAGCGAAACTTTCTTTCTTTCTTTATTTCGAGTGTCCTCGAACTCCATCGGCTAGCTTCTTCCATTCTTCTCTGTTGCTCATTATATTCATTAGCTCTTGATTCGTTATGCCAAAAAACAAAAACCAAAAAAATTAAAGGGGGTGTACCTCAAAAGGTCTTTGTTCCGATTGCTTTTGCGGAGGAGGAGGCAGAGAATGTTACAGATCGTCTGCAGGGTTGAGTCAGGTGGCTTTCCATCTTGAAGAACGTGCAACAACTTGGAAACGCAGTCTAAAGACCTCAGGCAGCTCAGGTTTTTCTCACATTCACTAAAACGATAAGGAAACATATGCAGCTTTCTCCGTGACGAATAATCTACTTTAAATAATCCGGATAGGACGATATTGATAACAGTATGCATATCATACTGATACTGACAGGGTATTCCTGTATAACAATTCTTGTTTTATTACCATCGTTTTTATCAGGAATAAAACGAAGCAAAAACGAGTTTCAGTTGAGTGAATTTCAAGAAAGAACTGACCTTCCTTGCGTGAGAAGTTCAAAGAAATGAGAGAAGAGCGACTTTTCCAAATCGTTTGGTGCATTATGCCATATCTGAAAATAAAGGGATACGCGTAAATGGAAACGGAACGTATAAAATTGGCAAGGGATAGTTAGAAACTTGAGGGATGTTGTGAATTCACCGACGTTAAAATATAAGGTGCGACAAAAGGGTAAATTCATAACGATCTGAGACGCAAAGATATTCCACAACGAATGCTTATGCTTGGACTTTGAATACAAATCAACCGCACGAACCAGTTGTCTAAAATATACTTTTTCAGTAAATACCGTGCTTATGGTTAATATACTGCACAATTACCACGTTCTAGAGTCTTGAATTGCTCTTTGACTACCTCCCTTGTTACAGAGAAGTCCTTGGAACTTGAGTTAACAATCAAAATCTAACAGAAATTTATCAGGATACACACTGAAGCTCTGAAATTTTAAAAATAGCACTTTTTGGAGCGAAGAGACAAACCTCAAAGTTGCAGAGAAGATCATTGAAAGCAACTGTGTTTGGTATGGAGCCAAGCTCCTTGTCGCTTCTTACTGTTCCAACCAAGGAAAATATCAGGTGCAAAATATGTGTGTTAAGCAGCCAGACTTTCCTTTTTAACAGGTATCCTAGAATCTAACAATCAAGAATAGTTATAAACTAGGTAAAAAGAAACTAGTTACCATAGATTGAGAAAATTCACAAAATTTCTCCTCGCAGGCAAGACCTACTGAATTATTCAATGAAGTGGAAAACGAGACTCGAAATTTGCACTTTCTCTGGTCTGATCATTTTTCTTTCCTATTTTCTAACAGTTTGTGTCCATTGCAGGAATAGATAAATGTTGTTTATGCAAAATTTACTCCACGCATAAGCCTCCATTCATGAGACTTTAATTACCAGCTGAAAGAAGTGCAATGTACATCAATATATCTTTAGTAGAAAAATACCTGATATCCTTTGATTCTGACCATCTCCTTTCTTGCCAGCCTGCTACTCTGAACAATGCAGGTTAGTGCTTTCAGTGACGCATAGAGCTCCTCCAGGTTACCCGCCATCGCAACCAAGCTCAAAAGTATCGGCATCCCTCCCACTGACATGACCGCTGACGCAAGATCACGTGGACAAAAGGAGCGTGCCCCACTCGCGCCAATGACAGCAGCTCCTAGAGTTCTAGCAGGGCCTTGGAAAAAACGTGCTGAATTGTTGATGACGACAATGGGAGTGAAACGGTCGTCCTCCATGATATTTGTCTATACGAAAGCAGTTCATATTTTATATTTACAAATAGTCAGTCAGAAATATCTCAACTTGTATTGTTGAGAACAAACTAAATCAATCAAATGAATGAGGATATAAAAGCAGCAAATCCGAGAAAATATAACGACGCAAACCTTTTCTGGCCAAAAGTAAAGTGTACAATAGCTTATTAAGAATAAAAAATACAACGTTTTCATTTAATTTTCAATTTTTTAAGCATGGCAGCCCTTCAGTTAGAGAAAAACTGATTTAAAGGGGGTCATGCATTATGTGCAAAAGAACATTACATGCAAAAGGAATGACAATTCATCGAAGCACTGTTTATCAACTGTAAAATACCAAATGGGAAATGCATCAAATCAGAAGTGGATCAAATCAGAAATGGATCAAATCGGAAATGGATCAAATCGGAAATGGCAAAAGTGCAACGAACCTCCTCTGAGATGGCCCTTGCCTCCTGATTTGAGTGTTGGCTTTTGAGCTTAGCAAGGGTGGTGGAGCAAACATTTTCCGCATTCAGCATAAATATGACTTTCTCTTCAGGCACCAACGCACCCTGTGACTCGTCATCACCACTTTCCTAGAAAATGTCACATTATCACGACCTCTGGGACAGGAAAGTCGTTTACAGAGAAAGTAAGAGAACCCAGATGTGTTTTCTGAGCAAATGTTCATTGAAATGTAAAAAATCTAAGAAGCAATGGTAGCAAACAGGTCATTCGTAACTAAAGATTTATTGCAACGAAAATAAGAGCTGCAGAGTCGTGGAAAAAATGTTCTCTACCTCATAATACTCGCTGATAATCGGGGCCTGAAAACACCCATTATAACTTGGTCCTAACTTGTAAATGCTGCTGATAGCGTCATCACTCAATGGGTCTTCCAATAGACATGTCGGCCCAAGCCTCCAAATGAGATCTGATATGTGGCATTGTGTTGCATGTGTTCCAAGGACGGCTGAAATTCTTGATGACGTAATATCAATACCAGATGGCAATCGAGAGTCGATGTAGCGAAACTGAAACGAATATAAATTATGAATGAACAGTGTAAACAAGATTACGTCATATTAGGAAAGAAACCAAATCCGATTAATAGTGGGGCGTATTTGCAAAATACGAGCCAGACAGATTTACGAGTGTCCCATCAGACAAACAACAAGAAACTGAACTGTTCTCGAGAATTCGATACTGTGTGAAAATCAATTTTGACATACCTAGATGCAGGGCATGAAAACCCGCCCTGATCTTATGACCGGGCGGTCGAAGGACATTTTTCACAAATATAGGTCTGTAGGAATTTTTTAAAATATACCCTTTTGCAAGAAGCATCATTCTTTCCTTCATGTTCATTTAAAAAAGAAAACATGAAGACAAAACAAATGTATCTTATTCATGTGCCTTGTACAGGTTAAAATGAATTTTCTGCCCAAGAACCCTTGAGATTATTTATTAAATTCTTGTTTAAAAAAAAATTTTTATCTGGCTTAAGAATCTTTGTTATAATTTGCAGAACTTTTGCAGCATGCCTCTACTGTATATTGTCTATCACAGTGATTTTTTCTGATTAAAGCAAACTGTTTCTTGTTCTTTTTGCAATTGAATTCTTCTCATGGTTTTGACCTTTATCTTCATCAAATAGTTTAGGCTCATTTTTGTTAATGTTGTGGAAAATGACCTGGGTTTGCTTGCACGAATAACATCTTCAGATAACAATTTCTTGGACTTAAAATGCTAGAAAGATAGTTAACAGCTCTGAATTATTGGCCAAAAAACTATAAAGCTAAGAATCAGCTTTAACATTTGGTTATAGAAAAAGGGCATCAAAGAATCGTTAACAGCATTTCAGGGAGATTTGCATTATGTACGGAAGGGTAAGCGAAAACAGGTGACAGAAAATACCTTGGAAGTGCTGACTATGCAAGATCCATTGACGTAAATGGACAGTGATTTTTTCTGATTAAAGCAAACTGTTTCTTGTTCTTTTTGCAATTGAATTCTTCTCATGGTTTTGACCTTTATCTTCATCAAATAGTTTAGGCTCATTTTTGTTAATGTTGTGGAAAATGACCTGGGTTTGCTTGCACGAATAACATCTTCAGATAACAATTTCTGGACTTAAAATGCTAGAAAGATAGTTAACAGCTCTGAATTATTGGCCAAAAAACTATAAAGCTAAGAATCAGCTTTAACATTTGGTTATAGAAAAAGGGCATCAAAGAATCGTTAACAGCATTTCAGGGAGATTTGCATTATGTACGGAAGGGTAAGCGAAAACAGGTGACAGAAAATACCTTGGAAGTGCTGACTATGCAAGATCCATTGACGTAAATAGACGCGGTGCTTTTGCGAACGACGCTCTTGTTCAAAACGACACTGATGAGGTTCCAGTTTCCTTCATAAAACATGTCTTCGTTCTTAGCACGCAACTGGTTGCTGGACTTAGGAGTGTTACTACGACCGGTTGGACCAATGTCTTTGTCAGTTGTTACCTGTTGACACAAACATGCAAATAACGCAAAAAAGGTTTCTGCATTTGGATATGACCGCAATAACGGAGGCCGCAGGTATGCCCAGTACTATCAATTTTAATGGTCATTTGGTGAAAGAAATCAAGCAAAACGAAATCGAGCAAATGAAACCCAAAGAACACCACAATGAAGGTTCTATAATCCATTGAAACCAATTGAAATGAAACAATGGCGTAATTAAATGGCAAATGTTTCAAAACATCTTCTCTTATAACATAACTTTCAACTTCTAATACCCTAAATAGGGATTGATAGGCAATTCTACGAAGCTAAATACTTACCACAATTTCGTTGCTTTCCAAATCAAGAAAAATAGTGAAGATTTTAACAGAATGTCTTTTGCCAGGAGTTCCAAACACCAACGTCCTTTGAATACTGAAAAGTCGCAATAAATTGGAAGTCGATGGCGTAGGAAGCCTCTCAATGAACAACCAGGAGGAGAAAGTGAGACCAATTGCCGGAGGGAACGCTCGTTCTGTAAAGGCACCTGAAGACACAGGTCCACTGGCACCGATCGACGCTAACTCGCTGGGAAGATATCCCGAAGTCAAACCTAGGTTTGCTAAAATAAAAGATGCAGTCTTTGGAAAAACAAAGCACAAATGAAACGGAATGGTTTGGTATTGATAAACATGTCAAGGTAGAAAGTAAAATTGCAGAATAAGCATGGCTACGTATTCCCGTTGATCAAGCAATGCACTTTAATCACGAACAACCGATTAAACTAAGCTAGAACAACGCATATGTAGAGAAAACATGAAGATATACCTGTGGAAAGAATAGGTGCAAGATTTCCTAGGTACAAGAAACCGAAACCATCGTGGCTCATATCAAACTCGACAAACGGGGGTTGCTCACAAGCTGCAACGGAAAGTAAATCTTTTGGGGTTGTCAATGACACTAAACATTTGATCATATTTTGCGATGGCGGTTTTCCTTCTAATTTTTCGCAAAGCCTGTTCAGTTCTCTTTCATAAAACAAAGTCAAATTATTCTTCAGAGAGTTCTCCTCGTCATTTGAAATCATTCGATTGCTACTATAACTATCCATTCTTCTAAACTTTGTCCCATTCTTCCCAGAATTGGTTGAATTGCAAAGCTGGCCCGGTTCCGTTTTCTCCCCTTTTCTTTCTACCAAAGCATCACCATTGTAAGGTACAGATTCTGTTCCTACATTTTTGGCAACTGGTTTCTCTTCCACTTGTCTTTCAACATTAAGATCTTTCTTCTCATCATGAATCATTACTTTTCCTGTTGTTAGGTCCTCCTCCCTCCCTTCATTAACATCTTTTGTGTCCGATCCGTAACTTTCTGAATCCCCATTTTGGTTCTTTGAAGGCAATACTTCCTTATCTTTATACTCGGTATGTTCCTGACTATCGTTAGTTCCCTCAAGGTCGGTAATAATTCCCTCAATGGAATCGAAGCTCTTATTCTCTGAAACATCCGATGCCTCGAACTCATGATCAAGTTCAACTATAGACGAAACGGAAATGCTGTCGGTTGCAGGCGCGTCTTGTTCCTTCTCATCTTCCTTCTCATCTTCCACGATTTTATCCGGATCCAAGTATGAATCCATCTCATTTTCTTCAAATAATACTGTTGATGTTCCTCCACCGCTACATGATAAGCGAATATCTCCGTCAAATATTCTTAGTGAAATCGACTGTTTTCTTTGCCTCTCGTCGAAATTCATACTTTCGTTTAAACTTCTATTCAAATCAATGTTTTCTGTGCCATTCAAGTCAAAGGGGCGCTTGTCAGCAAATGAACGAAGCATTGCGTAAGGAGAACTGCAGCATAATGGGGATCCAAGTCTAAGGAAGGTCCTGAACAAACAAACAAGAACAATAATAAGGTACAGGAAAAATTTGAATACATCAGGAAAAATTTGAAAAACTATCAATAGCAACTCTTAGAAAATCAGCATGGAAGCAAAGCACGTGCTACTAATGACGCAAAGTGCATATAAATTACAAGAATGACGCAAAGTGATATAAATTACAAGAAGCCATTTTTCTAATATGAAACATCACCTTAGAACTTCAGGTTGCATTGACTGTGACGTCAATCGTTCGAACAGTTTGGTCATTGCTGCATTCAACGGATGGTCATCATCCAGAAAGGATTCTCTGCATTTTGTCAGCAGCAGGAATGGAATGCCGGCATCACAAAGCAGCTGCTGGTTTTGATCAGAACCAAGAATCTGCTGCAGCTGACTGATCACATTTACTAGAACTCGAGGTAACGGCTAGAAGTGAAGGGCAAGATAATCACACATTATAGCTCTAAGAAAACCGAGCCATAAGTAATCACAAAAACTGCTGGCGTATTTAAAAGCTGCCTAGATATCACATGACGTATGAATGCATAAACAGACTTAAAGGAAGCCATAGAAATTGAAATAGTAGCACCTTCTTGGTTTGAGGCTGCTCTGAAAACGTTTCGCCAGCTTCATCTGTGTCGTCTTCATCCTCCCATAGCGATGGCAACAGCTCTATTCCCGCACCAATTGCACCAGGATGCACGATCCGCGGTATTCGAACACTGACTGATGACCTCTGCTGCACATCCGCTTCGTCATCAACATCCCAGTTCTCAAAACAGCTGCTTGCCATGCTTGTCAGACATTTAAACACAATCATTTTTATATATCTCCGCTTCTACGTGAAAGCATTAGCAGGGGCATTTGGTTTAAGCAAGAAACCGGTATGTACTTAGGTCCTTTTACCCGAGGCAGTTCCGTACGAACTTTCTTGAAACATCCTAGAAGCTTCAAGGTTTCAGTCAACCCTTTGAATCGCACCTGGAATTAATCAAAATTAACTCTCAAAAAACTGTACACTTTAAAGTGAATACTAGGAATATAAGATTTTAACGAAAAGATGCAAAGCAGTTAACAAAAAAAGCAAAAGATGTGGCAATGATAACAGAAAAGTACCTCGTCCATGAAAATTACACGGTTGCTTGGCTCATCCTGCATCGCTGCAGTCAAAACTTGAAATATTGTCCAAATGAGCTCCAATATCAAGGACCTGTCAACTGAAAAATCAAATATCAGCACATATACTCATTTTAAAGATCCAACTCAGTTAAATCTAGCGAAGATTACAGTAGCAATGACTACAAATAAAGTGCACAACCGAGTGGTCAATCTAATGAGTAATATATTCATAGGAGAAATAAGATTCAAACCAACCATTGGCCCAGACTCCTATGGCAGGATCGGCTAGACTTCCTTCCAGACTGACAAGGACAGCAACAACGTATACGAAGCCAGAAACCTCTTGGAACACAGTTCGTGTCTGTCCATTCATTGCAAAAATCTTCAACATCGAATTCAAAGCATCGATTTTTAACTTTACTGACGTCTTTTTGGTGGTGTGCATTAGACAAAGTAAGGTTCCTGTAAATATAATTCTTAGACATAAACCCTGGTGAAACATAACTAACATAACATATTCTAATGTTTTTGATGAGGGATTCGTATGTTGGTGAATTTGGCTGGTTTGGGCTAATGCTACACATTCAACAAAATTTGAGCCTGAGCTAGTTTGAATGCCCTAAATAAAAGACGAAGCTTAAATAGTTTCTCATAAACAGAGTACAAATGAAAATATAAAATATGCAAGAAATGCAAGGATTGATGAAAAAAGGTAAAAAATGCTGGCAATTAACATTTGACTTGAATCAAAATGAGACAAGTACCAAGATCATCACGACCACCATCAACAATCAACTGCTGGACTATTTTCAGCGCGTACGGTCTTGCGCATCGGAATGATATCAAACTATGGGCGTAGACTGCACCGCTGAATTGACGAAAGCAAACGGCATTGGCAGTGTTGTTCTCAATCAGGAGCCTGAGACATTCCATTAACAGGAATATGAAATCAGTCATTATTTCGTCTTTGTTAATGCCTGCCAGATCTTCACTGCTTGCTGAAAACAATCAGACTATGCTAATCAAGAAAAGGTAATTAAGTGCCAAACAAGCTGAATTGATTGCGTGCAGAATATGGAGACATGATAAAAGATTCGCTTCACTTTTCAAAGAAACGGGAGGCTCTGTATTCCTTTCAAGGTTATTCAACCAACGGCAGTAGAACCGATTCAACTTGGCGATAAAGCCAGTATTCGAATCGAAAACACTTTGAAACAATAGCACTACTGACGACGAGAACAGCGTTGGTGAAAAGAGGGAAATTTTCATTATCTGTAAAGCTAGCATTTTCCAGCCAAGCCAATACTTCAGATTTCATGAAAAACAATTTCAAGCGACTTGGTTTGACATTAATTTTGTGTAACGCAGCATTCCCCTCCGTTTTTCTAAACACGCTACATAGAAAGAGGGGTGGGGGGGGGCTTCATTGCTTAATTCCTTCATTTTGGTAGAACTCTAAAGCAAAATGAAGGGGTGCAACTGCAAAGCCCACAATGCAGAGCGCGGGATAGGCAAACGATGTCAATTTAATGAATAAGCATCTTTAAAACAATGTCATGGATAACGACTTGAAATAAAAAACTAACGCTACTCACATCCATACATCTCTTTCATTTTCTCAGCAAACTCTCTTAGCGAATTGATTAATACTTCTAAAATTCCAACTTCTCTAAAAACATTTTTGAATTTGTCGTTTTGGTTGATCAGTCGAATTAAAGTGTGAAGAGCCACAGTTTGGCATTCCGTTAAGCTGCAGACAAAAAAAACGGACTCAGTTTTGTGGTTTGGATGCTGGGAAGAGACACTTTTTTTTCAAACATCAACAACGGATGATACAAAATAAAAGCTTAACCAGCCACAAACTATGTTCAAATTACACAAACAAAAACAAAATGCAAAATACTACATGAATCACAGATGACAATGAAGCTAATAATTTTCCTGAGTAGCTGAGTGATTTTCAATTTCTATGCTAACATGGTTTAAGGCCATTGTAGATAAAAAAAATTCATGTGATAAGCTTTATGTTAAGAAACAAAGTAAACATAAAAAAAGCTGTGGATGAGACTTCCCTTGCTTGAAAAAAACAAATCCAACTTAGGCTGTTGATACAAACAAAGATTTATGCATGTTGTTGTTTTCCATTTCAAGGCATACTAAATATCATTATGTCGTATTTGAGCCCTATGTTTGTCTTAAAATTGTAATCTGAATGTTTATGTTAATGTGTTAACAGAGAAGAGTGGCACATACTTTGTGTCCTTGAAGAGTATCCCCAAAGTCAATAATTCTTGAGTTGGTATCCACTGTAGATGCAATGCGACAAACTCAATAAGCTTGAACGTCTCAGCTTGAACCACCCTTGTCTTTGTTGGGGCCTTATCAATGAATTGGGTCAGTGTGTGCAAGTTACTGAGAACAAAGAAGTTCCATGCATCTGAGTTGTAGATGTTCTGTACAGCATGGAGAATGTGTAGGCAGAGCTCTTCATCTCTTGACTGAAAATAAAAAGGAAATCAACCCAAACTAAAACTGAACCTCTAAACTCAAAACACAAATTGTATCTTAGATGGTGCAAGCACATCCTACAATAATCCAAAAGTTGATGAAATCAGCCAAAAACCATTTCAAAAAGAATTTGTAAACAAACCTGAAGAAAAGTCTCCTGCAAAACGATGAATGCATCCAAATTCCTGACTGTGAGACCTGAAAACAAGTTTTCAACACCTATAAATGCTGTTGACAGCTTTAATACAGAATAAAAATGAGAACAGTTTTCATGGAAATAAGTAACAAAAGACCACACAAATATACACACAGAAATTTTTCTTGAAGCAGTTTCAAAATAACTTGAATACTTATTTGAAACTTTCATATTGAGTGGAAACGTTTAACAGGAAGAACATTATTTTATCAACAGCTATTACCCAAGGCCAGAAATGGGGTAAAAGAATTGATAAACTGAAAAAAGAGACAGGCGCCTTTCTTTCCAATTGTCCTAAACACAGGCAGCATGTGAAAGACATTTATCCTAGAAAGGTCACTGGCTTGAAACGTTTTTCAGGAAAGGGCATTTAAGACCCCTTTCACCCACACTGAATAAAAGTGGAGATCATAAAACTGTGGCTCTTGTGAGTGCAATGCCCTAATCTTCAAGAACTAAATTTATATTTATCTCTATACATATAACTCTTGTTGTTTTTCAATAATGAATACATGACAATCATTTGCATGCAGCGATGGTATTGTCATTTCATTAATATTGGATTTAACAGGCAAGAGAGTCTCGTTGCAGTACCTGAAACAGATGCAGGAGCTGGTAAGGTGAAGCCATCATCTTGAAAACAGAAGTCCATCGATGGAGGGATTTTGATTGCCTTTGGTCCACTTAAAGCCAATGAGGAAATAAGTATAACAAGGTTGCGACTAGCTTCATTGACTGCATGGTCTTCACTGCTGTAGAAATCAACAAGCAGATTTGAAAGAAATGTGTACCCTCCACATTCTTTGAAACTATCAAGAAGAACTGATGAAACTTCTGCTGAGTCTCTCAAGACACATATCAAAGTGACCAACATCTCCACAATGGCAATTGGATTTTTTACACACATTGCTTTTATGTTTGATATGCTCAATGCAATGCACCTTTTATCTAAAGAAGAGCAAAGTAAAATATGGTAACTAAAGATGAGGTAAAAGGAAGGCTTACAGTAATGATAATTGAAGGCTTACAGTTCTTCAATTCAAACTTCTCTAAACATTTAAAGAATAGCTTGATGTCACACATACTAACAGCATGCTATCAAATGCCTAAACAACTCAAAGTGTGGGAACTTTTCGTGCTGCCAAATTCCATATAACCTGGCCTAGGATACTTAGATGCTTCATAAATATTAGAAAGTCTTGTACAGAAAGTCACTATGTTGTCCTTTGTTGGCCACTGGGACCATTTTTCTCTGTCTTGGTGACCATTCACAAAGGACCAATATTTAAGTCAACCAAATCACAAAGCTTTTTTAAACTGGCTTCAAAACTGGATGTTTTGTCCTACAATTGTGAATTCCAAAGGTGAAAGATTGCAACCCTGCTCTTTCCCACAAAGGCCTACAAGTGTATAAAATTCATATCAGTAAGATTAAGGTAGACTATGTTAGTAAAACAAAAAAATATATGAGTTGCATGCTGACATATTAACAAATTTAGAAAGAGTTAAACTCAGCAAAGAGAAGTATTACATGCATGAGCATGAGATTTGGGGGAGGGTGGGGGCATGCAGAGATGGCACTAATGCATAACAAAAGTGGCGAAGCCAGAGGGCAGGCTGGTCAGGCTGAGCCTGACAAACAATTTTCAGTGATATGTTTTTTCCATCTTAAAAAAAATAACTCAAAGAAAGAAAAATATTCTCTCTCCACAACTCTCTCTATGATCTTCAGATATTCATTAATCTGGGGCAGAGCACTTTCATTTATGGAGCGCAGTGGTTCACTTCTGATTATGATCATGATTATGGCCAAGGTCAGGCTCTCAGAAATTCACCTGACCAACGTCATAACTTTCACTAAATGGAGCTAGGTGATTGGCCAGAAGCTTCATGTGGACTGATTGTTTGTGACATTTGGTCAGGCTATTTCGGAATGGCTTGACCAATTGTTAAGGAAACAATAAGTGCGAGGGTAATCCTTTTTTGCCACTGTCTTGAAAACAATCAAGCATCTTACTTCATTGGCTAAGGATACAGTCAAATGTGTTTGGCAGAAATAACACCCAGACGAGAATATAAATTTGGCCAGGCTCATTCATTTGTCTGTGAAACTTTCTGGTGTAAGGCTTTCAATTGATCAGATTGGGAAGATAGGCCCATGTCTGGAAGTTGCAAGACGCAGGGGGAGGTATTGTGACATGACTGCTACGATGATGCCAAAAACGACTGTGTTGTACTGGCCTTCAAAGAACATCAGTCGTGTGAAAAGGAACTTTGTTGATATATTTGCTACCTGTCAAGTTTATCACAGTAAAATATGCTGCTCATTCAAAGTGAATTGTATCTATATTCTAATGTTGTTTGGACCTTCTTTGTTGGCTGATTATGTTTGACGCGGAGCTAAAATGTGTTTTTACACTGCAGTGTACTGATTTTTAACAATTCACAATAACATTTATTTTGATGATTTAAGTAAATGTGTGGAAATATCAACTTAAACAGTGTGAATAGTATGTTGTTGACTAATGAATCATCACAAACAGAAGGTATCTTTTTTGTACTGTACTTGTTGAGAGCCAGGGGGGCAGAGTAATGGAAACACTGCATAACATGCTTCTCTTTTCTGAGTTCAACGCTTTCTAGGATATAATTGAAAATGCTTAGAAATAATAAAAAAACATATCTACTTTAAAAAATAATGACATGAAAATGCATGTTTACACTGAAAAATAATGAAATCGAGAGAATCATAATACCCCCTATGTAATCAACAACTTCCTTTGTTAAGCAATATCTTGTTATAGCTGTAAGTACTTCGGAGACTGCAGCTCTCCACAACAAGTGTACAGGATCACAACTGCAGGTTAATGCATCAAAGAGAGTGGCTAAATCGTTTGTCCTAATTAGCTCTTTGGCTGTCACTGGATGATTGCACAATTTGACAAAAGTTGATAAAATTAGCTTTTGGACCTTGTTCAAACTTGTTTCCTCGAAGTAGCAAACTTTCAAAGAAAAAAACAGATTCAACATCTTGGCAAATGCTGAAGGCAATGCCGCTGCCACTATACATTCAACAATAGCAACTTCTCCACATGATAGAATATTCAGAGTAGACAACAAATTCCAGCCATGATTCTCCTCCTTATTCTGTTTTTCAATCAAAAACTCAATAACATCAATAACAGCCCTTTGCTTTGTTTTGTTTGACACTCTCCTCTGAATCTCATTCACAAGCAGCTTAGAAATATGACCGGCAAACTGGAGGACATCACTGAAACGTTCCGACATGTGCAGTGTATCTGAATCTGAGAAAACTCGAAGGAACAGGGGAAGCATCTGGTACAGCTTTACCTCCTGTTCCTCCAAAACCGTGGACTCCCTTGGATGTAAATATTCCAAAAACAGCCTTCTAAGATGGTGCAGCTGAGGTCCATCCTCAGACGGTTCTTTTGCTCCAAACTTCTTTCTCAAAAAATTCATTTCCCCTGTTTTGGTTTATTCATTTTTCTGCGTGTGAGATATCTATGAAGGGAAAATGATAGCAGAAATCAGAAAGCAGAAATATCTTTACACTTTCCCCTTCTATAATTCTCATAAATCATGGGCGTAGGAAATCATCATAACATCATATTTCGTTCAGTTCGTAAAAATCTTACGCAACATTTACGACTAGTAACTTTATAATATCCTAAAACACAATAAATCAGTTTTGAAGAAAATTGACTTGATCTAGCCGACATGTTAGGGCAGGTTCGTCAAAAACAGACACTTTGAATTTTGGTTCTTAGGCCACAAAATTACATTCCTAGGCCCAAATAAAGTAAAAAGTTTCATCTTTAACAGAATTGATTTAGTTTCACCTTGAAAATTGAGCTGCCAGTATTTCAGCATGCTACATAACGCCAGTTTCAGCCGAAGCTCATTCGAACATCTGTAACATGAACTTCAGTCAGCCATACAAACTTTTAAGATAATTCTGTAGGACAATCTTGTGCTTCCCGTCTGAAATCCCCATCTTGAAATATGCGCCCACCCAGAGGTACCGTGTAAGGAAGCTGGGCGGAAAAATAACGCATGTCTTTGAATTAGCCCCTGGGGGTTTATTTCGCAAAAAATATTTTCGTGTGAGCAATTACTATAATAGACAGTTTCTTAGGTATGTTTCAGTTAAAGATTTGATGTAAAGTACATAAAGTACCAAAAAATCCGGTGCCAAAAATTTCGGTGGAATATTTTTCGGTGGAAAAATTTTCAGTCACTTTTGAAATTTTGGGGCAAATTTCGGTGGGAAGAAACATTTCGGTGTATAGAAATGGAACACTTCCTGGAATTCATTTTTATTTGTAATGTTTTGAGGAACGCAATCGTAAAAGTAATGAATTTGGAATACTTTATTGTCAGCCTAATAAATGGGACTCAAGATTAGTTGTTTGGTGATAGGTGATTAGTTGTTTTGTAAAGTTGACGGTCGGTGGTTCTGTTCATGCTGTTGGGTGTGAGGGTGTTCGCCAGGCCAATGAGAAATTGCTCTTTAGCTCGACGAACACTCTCTCGTTTGTCATTAAGTCTAAGTAATGGTGTAATGACAAGGTCGTTGTTGGTGTGTGCTGGGCTGCAGAAATGTTCTGCAACTCCAGACTTGTCATCTTTTTTGTTGATTATGTCTCGTCGGTGTTCGTTAAGTCTTTAAGTCGTCTGCCGTATGCCGGGGCGAAATATTAGTATTAGTTTAATTTATTTTGGAAAATTTATCTCACAACATTGGATTCTCGTCGCCGTTTTGCTTTGTTTCTGAATTTTATCCTCGTATTTATTTAGAGTTGCTACTTCTGTATCAACATTTTTACTTATTGTCCATATTGTATTTTCATTGGCATAATTACAATGATTTTCTGTAGTCATGAAATAGAAAAGAAAATTAAGAAAAATGTTAAATAATAGGGGCTGAGAACTAATCCCTGTGGGCACCTTGTGTAACATTTTTACATGTGCTTGTTTGAGAATTAATCTTCACTCCTTGTGTCCTGAGATTGTTTGCTGAATCCATACGCATGAAGTTTAGTAATTAAGAGATCATGTGGGAGGCAATCAAATGATTTGGATAAATTCATCATTACTATACCTGCTTTTTCCTTATCGTCTATATACATCTTTAAGTTTTCAACTAAGCGTATCAATCCTCGTTGTGTACCATATTTTCTCGGAATCCACATAAAAGAGGGCATAATTTCATATTGATGAATGAAAATACCTGATTGTACATCATTCTTTCATATATCTTAGAAAGTGAAGGAAGAGCACTTACCGCCCTGTAGTTCCTTTTATCATTTGGATTTTCTCTCTTAAATACTTGTGTTACATCTGCTTGTTTCATTGCAGTGAGGAAATTCACTCGTTTTGACAGAGTGGTTAAAGAGAATTTGTAATGTTTCAGAAAGTTCTTCCACTGATGTTTTGATAACTTTAGATGGCATATCATCAGGGCCAGTTGCCTTCTTCGAATCTAAAGAGTTTATTTCTTGAACTATTGTTTGTATGGATACAGGCTCAAAGCTGAAGAGAGTTTGGTGATTTATTTGCCTCTCAATAGCAATGATACTAAGCTAGTGTTTATATGCTTGTATAATATTATCTAATGTAGAATGATAGCTTTCTGCCTGTGCGTTGCTATTAGGAGGTGTGTAGTTCTCTTTTCGTGGCAGGTATTTAGGAATATTTAATGATTGTGTTATATTTACAAAGTAATCATTCATTAAGAATACTGGTTTAGTGGTTTTTCAAAATTTCTTTTTGTCAGTGACCAAATTTATGTCAAGGCTGTTGAAGTAATGATACTTTGCCTTTTTTGTTTCTTGTGCACATTCATTTCTCAGAATTCTGTATTTGTCCCATTCTTCGGGTGTTCTTTTTTTATTGTTTCTATTTTTAGCTCTAAATCTTACCATAATGAGGCAATCAGCTTTCTAAGGTATTTCGTAACAAACTTCATACTGAGGGGAGAGGGGAGGAAGTGCCGATCCATTTGATGCTCAGTCACTTCTTTGTTTTTGGAGGGACTATACCCCTTGCTTCTGACGGCCCTGTTATAGCCGATTTGGACCGGCGGCTTTATCTCCCATATTGATACTTTAGAACGTATAACCTGGGCACATATTATTTTCTGTCAACTAGAGGATAGACATCGAGAGGATGGACAGCTGAGTTGGCTTTAGGCCACTGAGAATTTACCTGAGGCTCTAGGTGATGTCCAGATCAGAAGTTGAACTTCTAATTGACAACCTTCTAAAAGATAAAGGTTGAACTTCTTGACTTTCCAAACGATATACCCCTATGACTGCCAGAAAAGCACACCCCTTTAGAGAACTCATATTGATTTTGGCCCTTCTAGGGAGACAAATTGTGTTGCAAGTAACATTATGCGGTTGAGTTAGCTTGAATATTCAGCTGGCAAGTTTAGCAGGATTATTTAACTTTAACTGTAAATAGCCATCGGACGCCATTGGAAGTGAATTGTTCAATATTTTCATCAACACTATTGTGGATCATCTTTGGGCCAAAACTCTTGTGGCCTCGTTCGCATACAACGTTAATTGATGACGAAGGCAACGTGACATAAAGGGATAGCATCGAACAATTCATTACATTAAGAAAGACATGACTGATATACAAAAAAATGCACGGCGTAAGCATGGCAAACAATTAAATGCAGAAAATAAGCATTTATCAAGCATAGTTTGAAGTGCTTTAAAAAGGTGCAGCAACGTTTCCATCTTCGTCATTCTTCGCGTCATGTCTGATTGCATTGGCCTTTGCATTAGAAGCGTTTGCAGCCTGAAAAATCAATGCGTAATTCAGGTGCAACCAAAGAAAACTCAACAGTAACCCATTAGAACCGTTGAGTAAAATATAATTTACTAATATTTTCACTCTTTTACTCAAATCTCACTTTTTGCAAACAATTTGTAGAATTCTTTTGTTGATGAGCCTGTCTTTTTCAAGCATTCAAGTAAAATGAGAGTGGAATGGGATAAAAGTTCTAATACACCTAGTAAAAAAGGTTCGTTGAAGTTTTTAGCTCAGCAATTAGTACGTGACAAGTGGCATTCTCGAGACATTAGAATTTCAGCATCACCAGCATCATCTGGCCTCGGCTTAGCAGCAATTTGTAGCTAATGGTCAGCCTCAGGGCGATACGGGTCTCTCTTTGGAATCGGAGCTGGTTCAACATTGCGTCTTAATCGGTGATAATCTGAGGGATAATTGGTCATCTTACATTATCGATTTGGCATCCCTAATAGATTTCCTGTAGGAGTTGCCCTATTCCAGAAGAAACCAGCTTCAATTGATAGAAACCATGAAGAAATCCGATGAATAAATATTCTCAAACATCAAATTGCACTTTTAAGACCAATGTCAATAAACTGGATAAAACGGTGCGAGTATCATGTTTTAATAAAAATTCATTTGAAAAAACGCTCTCTAAGTCAAACCTTTTATGGATTAAAAGACTGTGGGTACGGTCAAGACATTCTTAGCGGAAGGGAAACTTTAGAAGGAAAACTCAGTATGTTGATTTAGGAAACTGTCTTGAAATGAAGCCAGTAAAGAGCAAGATCTCTACTTTCAGTTCAGACATAGGACGATTTATCGAAAGTTACTCGTTATGGTGCCGTTGCATTTTGCTGTCGAAAACATTTCGATTCTGGCAGCTTGAGGAACAAACAAAGTTGATTTCTATAAGAATTACCAAAGGCAATGCAAGATAATATCTCAAACAGGATACAGTGGAATCCCGATCAAATTTTAGGTCCCTTCATCATTATTACCCTCGATATAACGAACCTTTCATAAATGCTTCATCTGTTCTTTTCATTTATTTTATTCCGGTGTTCCTTTATCATTTTCTCTTGGGGGGAAATCATTATTTTCATCGGCACATGATACGTGATGATACATTTCAAGCACTGGCTGATAGATTAGAGCACGAGTTGATCCCGTCAAAAATTACGGCAAATGAGTACATTGACACTAACAAACAGTACCGTCGAGAGGGGGTAGCCGGGGAAAATTCCCGGGGCCCTGGCCTCAAGAAGGGCCGGCGAAAAGTTTTGCCCATGCGTCACTACCCTTGCACAAGGGCCCGTGTTGTTAAAAGCCCCAGGGCCATCTGACTCTCGATGATAATTGCGATCGTCATCTGGCTAAAGACACTGGTGACGAGCGACGAGAAAGTTTCATTGAGAGACCCAGGTGGAGAAGCACAAGGAGGCAAATAAGAATGATAAATGATCGAAGTCATCATTCAGGCTTCAGGGTTCGTGATATCGGGATTCCACTGTAATTTCATAAGAACAAATCCACCAAAATAATAGCAAAGATCTGTTAGAATTTTACATTTCTACATCAAATTATCAGTTAGTCTTAAAAGTATCCCAAGAACCCTTGAATTAACGTACCGGCGCACTTGCTTCTCTGCAAGGGAAATGATTCTCGGAAAATAATTCTGATTTCATTGAAATTTCGCTCTCATTTTGACACATCTGCAAAATAGAAATCGAGGGAGACATCATTTTAGCCAATAAATACCCGGAGAAATGGAGACGATGTGTGTTCAAGTTATCCACCCTGTAAACTAGAGTGTACAAAAACCATGCGCTGATTTAGTTTCAGCATGGAGACATTTGCTGAGATGTAACATGAAATAAAGGAATGAAAAGGGCAGAGGAAGAATTCAGAAATGGTTGACTTCAACGATGAGAACTCACCAGGTGCGCATGAACCGCCATTGGAGCTGATGGTTCTCTAATCTCACCAATACCCTTTTCAAAATAACCTTCCCATGACTCTGCTGATTGGCTCCTGACAGTCTGCCGACCCTCAAAACCTGTGGCTGTTTCGTAGCCGGAAGCTCCTCTTTCCGAATTTCCTGCCATTTTTGCCATTTCATGCTTGAGAAAAAGGCTTCCTATAGTTATTAACTCGTGCCTCAAGAGCGGGTCACATTCTAAATTTCCTTTAACGCCAGCGCCCTTCATTGAATGCCCCTCGTGATCTTTTGTCGTAACAACTAAGAAGGTGTTCGAACAATTAGCCTCGTTTTGAAAGGAAACATGGCTTTGAAGGGCAGTCGGTAACAAATCTGTGGTGTCAACTCCCAGCTCAACCAACCCCCTGGCGATACTCGCATGACAGGTGTGTGTTGCCACCATTTTTAACAACGAATCCATATCACACTCGACATCAGCAGCTTCTGCACTCATGACATCTGCTGACTCGCTTGCCATGCTGATTTCACATTCTTCATAAAGATTTCTTTTTCCAACTTTATTGAAATGACTTTCTTTAACGGCTGGATTAGTTGGCAGGATTTTCAATTGGTTGCAAATTGAAGTGAAACTGCTTCTTAAGCTGCCTGTATTCAAGATTTCCTCACCGCACTTTATTAGGAAATTTCCAGTTAATGAATGAAAATTTTTCTCCAAATTCACAGATCTTTCCCCTTCGTCTGTTACTTGCACAACAATTCTAAAAATCTTACTTAAAATTGAACCTATGTTTTCCAAATTTGTTTCTTCCCTTTTTGTAAGAATCACTTCGGGTTCATCTGTGATCAGCTCATCAACTATTGCAGGCACCCCATTCTCTGGTTTATCACTCTCATGTATGCCTTTCGCCTCTTGGCTGATTGGTTGCCAGGAAACTGAATTGTCGATCTCCACTGATGCTGGCTCTTTCTCATTCTTACGCCTTGCCTCGCATAGTGTGATGCTTGAAGAAGGCTTCTCCCCTGATACAAGCAGGACAGTACTTTCCTTAATTATTTCTTCAAAAGTATCAGCCATTGTAATATTCTTCTTACTAACTGCATCTATCTCCTTCAGTCGACTTGCCTCCTTAGCATGAACCAGTTTTTGTTCAGCCACACTAACAACTGAATAGCTACGTCTTGCATCCCTGTCTTTCACTGCATTTTGAGTCGCTAGTATTTTTTTGTTTTCAATTTCTTGCAAACTTTGTTCAAGGACTGAAAGCGCTATATATCTTCCAAATGCTGACCTCAGTGCCTCTATGTAAACAGCATGCTCTTGCTGACTCCCGATTATCTTTTTTTCCAATTCAGACAAATCAAAAATTACTGTCTCTATGTTGCATGTGTTTACTGCTGTGCTCGGGAGCTCTTTCAGCCCTGCGTTGCATCTTAAACTCCTAATCTGAAGCGCAACCCTTCTCAGGTCCTTTAGGCCTTCTGCAGTTTCATTTCTCTGTTTCAGTGCCTCCAATCTAAGAACGTCTACTTCCTCTTTTAAATTTTGAATTCTCTTCTTATCTTCTTTATTTGCATGTTTTAGTGCTTCAATGGCGACCTGCTGTTCTCGATCTTCAATCTCCTTCTCTTCCTGTTTCTTACACGCAACCGCTGACGTCACAGCATTTTCAATACTCAGTTTGCAAAGAAAGGACGCAATGACTGACTCCCAGTCCTCAATAACCCTTTGCTTCATCTCAAGGTCTTTGTTTAACAACCCCATATCTTCATTTGCTTTCACAAGGCTGCTCTTGATTAACTTAATTATTGTATCCTTTGCAGTGGTCTTTTCTTGAAGGCGTTGCACGTCAAGCTTCAATTCTTTGATGACCGAGTCGTAATTTTGTAGAGTAATTCTTTTATTCAAGCACTGGTTCTTTAGATCAATTATTTTCTTCTTCAGTTTTTCTATTTGTGCTTTCTTTTGCTTTATTTCCCCCTTGTCGGACTTTGCTACCTTTTTCAACTCCTCGTTTGTTGTTTTCGCGTTGTTCAGCTCATTCATAATCGAATCAATTCTTTTCACATCACTTTCGATGGTTGTTTCATACATTCTCAGCTCTTCGTCTTTTTGTTTTAGTTGTTTAACAACACTGCATATTTCATCTTCCAAAGCAATCTTCAATTTTGCGTGCTTTTCGCTAGTCTCTATTTCTTTCACTGCTTTTGCAATGTTTTGAGTTACAATAAACTTTGCGATGGCTTGCTGCTCAAATTCTATCGGCTCCTTTTCATTTTCAACGAGCTTGCATTCACCTTGTAGATGTCTTTCATCAATTAAACAGTCGCATGAATAATCCTCCTTCCCTAGGGTTCCTGGGCTGTCTGTCTTCGTAGCGGCAGCATCTCTTCTTTCAATGCAGTTTCCATGTGGCTTCATTCCTTCAACAGTCTCCTGTAAAATTCTATTTTGTTCCTTTAGATACAAAATCTTCAGTTCATCTATGGCTCTTTGGATAGCCGAACTCGTAATGAACTCTGCCAGAAAATTTGTTGAATCCTTTGTACATTCCATATTATGCAAGCCATTTGCTTTAAGCCCTTCAAACTTTTTACGTTCAAAACTTTCTACTTCAGAAGATGAAAAGACCTTGTCTTCGTCGCATAATGCACCAGAATCTTTAATCTTCGTGATGGTGTTAATTACATCTCTGATCTTATTAATCTCTTCTTCCATATTTGCTACCGCTCCTTTCCTATCCACTTCAAAGATCAAATCGCTGGCTTCAAGAATATCAGCAACTTTATCGAAAGAGATTTCCCTTCTAGTTGAAGTGTTTTGGTAGTGTCTTGACTCGATGTTTGGTTCTTCAGAAACATCATTCCTATCCAAAGACCGTTTACTCAAAATCTCAATTAAAACAGCAGTTGCGTCGAACTGTTTTCCTTCTTTCATCTTCAGTAAAATGTTTTCTAATATCATTCGGACCAATGCAAGAACTAGCGTCACGGAGCATTCAATAACCTCTTTATTTTCAGAACTTTCATCACAACGTCGGCTACTAACTCTCTCTTTTTGAGAGCTTTGTTTTTCTAGTTTACTGCATATGTCTTCCAAACGTCTCACCTTTTCTTTCAAGCTATTAATGTCATTAAAATGGCTTTCCTGATCTCTATCAACCGGCTTTGAACACCCATAATCGCATGACGTCCCTTTCGATTGTTCCCTGAATTGAGCATTTTGCTTCGGAAGTTCCATTCCAACCTCCATATCCTTGGACTCTTGAAGAAGTAGATTGCTGTTACAACGAAATATCTTTTCAAGAACACGGAGTTGCTGGTGCATCAGCTTCAGGAGAACTTCAGCATTATTCTCATCATCATCTATGTCTGCTTTTGGCAAAGAACTTCCGAAAGTGACTGCGGTTTCCTTCTTGTCACAGCTTGGCCGATCTGCGTCTTCGCCTAAACCCTCTTGTATATAAATGCTACCAGAGCCTGCAAAGCGTGTTTCGGTGCTTTCAAAATCAGCAGAAAGAAAACCCTTCAGAGTTTCGATTTCTCTTTTGAAACTTGCTGTCGCGATCCAGATTTCGTTTATGGTCGATTCCAAAAACTGACATTGACAGCCCTGACAGCATTCTTTATCTGAAGAAGCATCGAACCTCGCTGCATTGGTAGCAGATACATTGACACCGCAGCACCTGTCTACCTCGCATTGATTAAAAGTCTCTACGTCCTTTTCAGTATCAAAATCACAACCTGCCTCTGACTGTATCAATTTGCCAATCTCTTCCTCAATGCTCCATACTCGCGACTTTGCTTTTGTCACTGAGACCTTTGTATTCGATTCTCCAAGACCGCCGTCCTTCTCTTTATTTTCTTTTCTCTGATTTGCCTAAAACATTTTTAAGACTAAGTTAGATAAATTTGTTTGGCTTAGATAGAAAATGTTAACTGTCTTTGTATTATGCAAGTATGACTTCTGGCTGAAACTTTGCTTATAATTACCAAGTCATAAATACAAAAGGTGTTGTTATTTTGATGTTGATTTATTTTGAGTCGATAATCACATAGGCAAAAGTATATACAATAAATAAAAAGTTGACTAAACTAAATCAAATGAAACTAAGATATACACCAAAATTTGTTATTGAACAAATTAGAACTATTGCCGGCGTTACATTTACATTCTGGGCTATCTTAGAAATACAATTGTACCTTTTCTCTTTCATATTTTGCGAGCTCTCTACTCAAAACAAACAGCCTCCATTCCCTCAAGCTTCCTTTTCTTTTAAGTTCGTCGATGCCTTTTCCAAATAAGTCCTCATAACTACAATGCGAAGAGTTTTGTGACCTTGGTGCGGGTTGAGCACATTTTTTCTCGGTGCTTCGCTCCAAGTCTGATTCTACTGGCGGAAAGTCTGTTGCTTGCAATTCACAGGGATAGTCTTTAGGCATAACTTGGTCTTTTAGGTGATCTTTTCCAATTTTCAGTCTGCTAAAAACACTCCTTTTCATTACATCGCAAAAAAAACACAAAGAACTGAAATACTTTAATTTTCAATATCACTTCCAAATGCTATTCACTTTATAAACTTACGTGACAAAAGTATTGGGACCGTTGCCTCAAAGCAGAAATATTGTTGACCCTATGCTCAAAGAACACCATAGAAAATCAGTGGAGCATATCGTGATTTTTGCTGAGATTTTTGATTGAAGGTAGACCCAATGGTAAAAATAAACAAAAACTAAACAGATAATAAAAATATTAACTCTCTTAGACAAGTACTACTTGTTTTATTTTATATTTTGTCTGATGACCTCCAGTATTCTAGACAGCCGCCATAGGAACTGGAATTGACTGAAATATCTTTGCGACCAAACGGATAAATATAGTCATCTCAGGAAAATTCAAAAGGAGCTCATTTTTGAAGATTGTATTTCTTGGAACTTTTTTATGAAAACCAGTTTTTTTCAATTACATCAAGGCTTTGACTTTGATGGGGTTATTGAAAGACCAGGATGTCATTATTTTGGTATTTTTTGCCACATTTGCAACATATCTGTGTTTGGTGTCTTGCTCAAAAGTAAATGGTCTTTGCATTGCATCATTACTTGTTTCTGCACTTGCCTGTAGGCTCCCACCAAATAATTTGACAAAATATTCAGCACTGATTGACTTTGCACTTAACGCCAGATTGTCGACACATTAGGCCATACCAATGGTGGGCTTGCCCTGGCCTTTCATTCCTTTGAAGTTTTGTGGGACCTGCCAACTTATTGGTCTGGTAAATATCATGTGTTTTAGACTTGCTGCGACCAACGTTTCTTGCAAATTAAGCAAGCGAGTGAAAACCCTAAACCCAAACTTTCTTTTACCTTCTCATTCTCTTTCTGGCATTTTTGTGTCTGCGGCATTTCAACAAATTCTGATTTTTTCCACTTCCCTGAGACATTTTTTTTATTTCTATACTAGAAAAATAGAAAACAAATTTGATTTTTTTATGATTTTCATTTTTGCTGACGCCATTTCTAGAATTCCGTGAAAACAGCAAGATTTGTTCAAAAAAAGGTTAGAATGCTAGTTTCGGAGCCGCCATTTTGTTATTCCTCGTCCTGATACTTTTGTCACTTGAGTGTATAGCTAGGGTTATGGTGTACATTTGGTGTGGTCCCCTTTTTGTAGCATCTGTTATCAAAACTAGTTTTTCATGATGGAATGAAACAAAGAAACATAATGTAAAAATACGCAATTGTGTTATATTCAGCAATGTCACCTATTTTAGGCACATACCTGGCTGCCAATTTACATAAGCTAATTCATTTTCAATTCATAATAGGTAACTAACTTTTCTCTAATGACTACTAATAATGCATTGTACACAACGTAAGTACAAACGATCAAACATAAATACATATGAAGCAATGCAATTGGCTTTTGTAAACCTGAACGTAAAGGAAGTTCTTTGGTCTTATTTCTACCTGATATGTTTTGAAATGTGCAAAACTCTGTTGAAACGACGGTTCGGCTCGTTAATACTGTCGCGCTGTCCGGATAGGTTGGCATAAATATGACCAATTTTTGGTGCATTATCCAAACCGGGCGAGTCTCTGAGATTACAGAAAGGAAACAAAAATTGCACGCCTTTATGTAATCTTTTGCTGTAAGACTGAATATTTCACAGTTGGCCAAACTTGACGTCTAACAAGTGACAATGACGTGAAATTAGAATGTGACGTCACTGGAATGACTTCGATCAATTGCTTTAGGCATGTCTAGCTAGTACACGGAAAACGCCAGAAGGTCCGCGCGCATGAAAAACGTATTTCACGCATGCATCATCGTTGCATCATACCTATTTGCTGCACCTCTGTTTGCCCACAAATTGAACTGACTTGCTGTGTTGTTGTGCAGACCGGGCTCTGCCTACAGGATGCCTATAATGTTAATTAGTGTCATGCCAACTGTAAAAACATAGATTCTATCTTTATACACAAATATTACTGTATATAACATCTAAAGATTTTCATATTGGAAACCATAACTGAGCTATGTCTAGTTACTCCTACATGGCATAATAAGAGTGCATAGATCAGACATGGGTCTGATTGATGGGGGGATGGATGGGGGGATGGGGGGATGGATGGGGGGATGGATGGGTGCAACGAATAGCTTTAAGATCACGTTGTAGGAACAACTCAAGAGCTACAATTGTCAAGTAATACACACTTTGTGTCACAAAATTTAGGCATATAATTTTACTTTGTACCTAAATTGTTTTTTTTAAACTTCATAGTAATAAATCAAAAGATGGCAAAGATCGTAAAAATGATAGTAAGAATTCCAAATCATAGTGACAGTTTAATTCTTTACTGATAATTAAATTGTTATTTTGAAGTTAACCCAAAACGAATCATCGAAAGATGACCTTGGTTTTGAATGCTTTCTATTGGTCTTGGACAGTCTTACTTTCATAAATTAGGGTACGGTATCACTTTTGAAAACTTCACAAGCGCGAGGATATTACTTGCTTGACGCCAAATATAAATTTTATAAAAGAAATGTTTTGAGGACGGTGACAGGCTTAGCTTTTCCCGTACGTCTTCCATTCGCTTTCTAGAATGACTGGATATCTGTGTGGGAATATAATGCATTGAGCTGAATTGCATCTAACTAGCAAATTTGTAAACATACAATTCTTGAATATATGAAAAATAAGAGAGTTTGATTCCGGATTGATGACAATGATGCAGAGACATTTCCTTCTCAATGAGAGCTTGAAAAATCTTATATGACGTCAACTACTATTTCGTATATCTTTAGGCAACAAAGCTGACCACATATGGGCAAAAGACGTAATACCAGTTAAACGTAAAATAGGTCCTTTGTTTGCATTGAAATAAAACTTCTCAGCTAATAATGATGAGACATGGTGTTTATGTCTTGAAATACCATGTTACACAACTTTTTTCCTTCGTTTACGAAAGTTGTGGAACCGGCAACTGTGCGCCAACATTCCAGTTAAGAAACCCTTAGTTCGAAGTTTGACTCTTGATAGCAGTAGGCAGACCGTTTATTGTACAAGGAGTATGCTTCAGTAGCGAATAACTACTGACACCCACACGTCTTCACCACCATATTTTGGTACTTTTTCAAAACAACATTGTTTTGGTCATCCAAGAATAGCACTGTGATGGCTGAAAGCTGAACTGGTGCACAGCAAGGCTGAGGTATCGAGGCATGGGCCATCAAATGAACGAGAGTTTGAACAATGGCGTGGTTAGTGGCATTCATGTGAGCTCCAAGTGGAAATGGGCAATCTCCGTGGCAGTAATACGCGGGGTATCCCTCGGGAGCTATGATCCAGTCTGCCCAGCCGAGGTCATTGAAGCTGACATAAAGGCCATGACGTCGACATCGGTCGTTGTTGTTGCGCTTATAACGAGCGCCAGAGTTAAAAAGACCTTGCTGCCCTTGTTTATGACTGTTTCGCCCGAGATACGTCTGCAGAAGACTGGGCACAGAACGTGCTTTTCGATGTCGTCTTTTTCGTGGATCGTCATTTTTCTGGATCTGCTCGATAAGAATATCGTCACCTTTTGGTGTCCTAAAGTATGAAACAAGGAACGGGATCTGATCAGGAGGTCCTTTAAAGTCGACTATTCCTACTTCCTTTATGCTTAATCTAACGCCTTGCTCAGATTCACAATGCACAAGGAGCCCATTATTAGAGCCGGAAACTTGTTTCCAAACCTTGACCAGCTCTGAGATATTAAAAACTAACCAGCCAGTCTCATCAAAGCCAATCAATCGAGAGTCGACAAGACGGTAAATCTTTTTCGGGATTACAATCTGGAATATCTTAATGGTCAGGTATTTCTTCCTTGCACTATTGCTGTGCATTTCCCTCTTTCTGTAGAGATGAAGTTGTGAGGCCAGGATGTCGTCATAGGCAACACTTGTAGCAAGATCAAAATAGTATGCGCCATCTTCATCAGATGCGTTCGGCCTTGGCTTCATAGCTAAAATGAAATATTACAGAATCAATGTCTTTAAAATCGTTTATTTCATAAATGAGTATATAATATAAACGACCTTGCTAACAAATTTATTTCGGGCAACAAGAATGTCGGGGTCGTTTAACAACGGCGTTGAGAGAGTCGAGAATTGGGTGCCTCACACTGGCTTTGCGAAGGCCCCTGCCAGTACCCACTACACCCCTCTGTTCTCTGCATGGCCCTATATCCCTGTGACTTTCTTACAAAACATACAATAACAATCCATCTTTGCTTTAATCATATGGAAGCCAGGCTTTTAAAAATGACCTTGAACGTCATGTGGATTAGAAGCCAGTTTAAAAGCTGCGGAGTTTATTAAGTTTTCTATCCTGTTAGACGTTATTGCTGAGTCACTGTCGACTAATTGCTAATCAAGTTAGATGCTAAGCCGATCTAATAGCAAAAGTTTTCTGCTTTAAATGAGCATGACCCTTGCTCCACCGCAGCTACTCATTTTTTACCAACATACCGTCTAATGGTCCAGTCGTCTATTGGGCAACTCTTTTCTAATGGTACAGAAGGTTGTTTAACCTAGCGTATGTAACCTAGCGTATGTACGACACAAAGTGGGTACGAAACATCGTTTCGTAAAAGGGCTAGAAGTGCCCTGAAGTATAACAAAATACTATAGGATCTTATCGATAATCGATGACCATTTTGACCATTCTCGTTATGTTAATATCTATTAGAAAATATTAGAAAGATGTTAACACCAGCACAAAAACGCAAAGGATAAAATGTTCGTCTATGACAAGGTCAATCACAAGAGAGAGAGCGACAAAGATAGTAGATGATAAACAAACGATATGTTCCCTCATAAGTACTCCAGGAACCTAAGGAGGATAAATCGATATAAAAACTTAGCGGGCAATCAAAATTTTACAACCAGCCCATTTATAACAGCCATGATATTTTATAAGACCAAATATTGTGAATAGTGACAAAGCCATTTAATACCCATTTTTATGTATGGATAATTTTGTCAACATTTTCTCTATGTTAAGAATCTTTGATGGTGTAATAGAGCTAAATTAAGCAATTTCATTTGTTTTTTCGCATACGTAGGTATTTTGTATATTACGTAGATTATTAGGATGTCCCCCTTGTGCACGCGAGAGACGATCCGAAGACTGGAACTTCAAAGAATGACGGTTTCTTGCGAGCGGCTATGCTTTTCCTTTCCATTTCCATCTTATAACATCCTAAGGCTAAACAGCTAACATAAACAATGACGGTTCTTCGCGAACTCTAATACTAACAATCCAATGAAATATATAACGAGGCACAGCACAGTCTTTCTCAAGCACTGCCTATCCTAAATGCAAACTTGGCCGCAAGAGCTTTCGCAAGCCTCTTGGGCAAAACGGTTAGCTTCTTCTGATGTTTAGCCTTTCATGTTTATACCTTCTGAATTTCTCTCCGAATCTCCTTGAATCTAACTACCTACGTTTATTTATATGTACAAAGAAAATATCAGAAAAGCATAACCAAGCATAAAATGTTACCCAATATAACTAATGCAACATGATGTAATCCTAATGAGGGGTAATTCAACGGAAAGGAAAAGTATAGCCGCTCGCAAGAAACCGTCATTCTATAAAGTATCAGTCTTTGGATCATCTCTTGCGATTTGAAACCTCCATTTTACAATGGTAAATAACAGCTGTATGGGTGGCACTGTATTCAAGTTAATATTTCATTATGTTACCCCAACCTCGCCCCCCTCCCACCTAGAAATACTCGATTACACTCTTTTTTTCATAAGAAAAATTTTATAAGAACACAAGCCTCAACAGTGGTTAAAAGTTAAGAACAAGCTGAGGCTGAGATTCTGCAAAAATGCAATTTTGAACAACGTTTTTTCTGGAAATCGAGGATTTTTAGCTATGTGTGGGTGCTTTTTCGGTGAATATTCAAATTTTTCAGCAAATTAAGGCTGTCTCACTCGCTTTGTAGGCAAATGAGGCCTGAACACCTCCTAAGAGCGAAAAAGATAGCAATAGCACTGCTTACACCCTCTTAATTTAAGAACAAATTAAGAACAATCCAGCCTCGGATTTTCGAAAAAATTAAGAACAGTCAGCCTGAACTTAAATTTACTGGTTCTTATAAAAAGAAAAGAGTGTATGTTAGCAGAACAATTCCACGATTTGCCTTCGGCACCAGCACTGCCCCTCCTGCCCTTATCTTTTGCAGGTGTCCCTGACAGTTAGTCTCGTCAATGTTTCTATGTTTTCAAATGCTGCTGACATTTCTGTCAAGCAATTGGCTTCCATTCTAATGCTGTAATAAGATGAGGAAAGTAAGTTATCGTTCTGTGTCAAAATTTTTATCATAACCAGCCAGCAATTTTGATGAATTTTCACAAACCTTCTGAGTTCTAAACTTTTTCTAAATTCTGTGTTTCTTATCATTTCGCTTCGAACACTAGCGTTTCTTAACTTTTTCTGATTGCTAAGTACTCATTTCTTTTAGCGAGTTACTTATAAAAGATGAGTGTAGCCGGAATGAGATAAGGGGGTGCTATTGACAGTGTACAAAAATGGACATAGAGAAATAAGTCTTTGTGTATGATAATTACATCGACGTTGAAACTCTTACTATCAGGTCAACTAATCAGCAAGGAAAGAGTACTCTGAAATTGTTTTCGAGAACAAATCTATTATTTCAATGGTTCTTAAACATAGCTCTTTAATGATTCTTATATATCGCCGTGCTTCCCCGTTTTGATGACAAAAAGTGCTGTTGCTGTTGTTGAACTTTGATGGGGCTGGCATTGAACAAAATGGATCTAGTTAGCAATTAACACCAGATAAAGGAACGGTAAGACGAGTTAAAACAGGATAATCCACGAGATGAGAGACATCCCGGCAAATGATTTCAAATAGGAAATGATAAAAAGCACCGCTATCCTTACGAATTAGCATTCCATAATCTGAGATATTGAATTTAAAGTGAGATTATTTCTTGCATAAAAACGCTTCAAGATCTCAGAATTCAAGTGTCAGTTTGCACCCCTCCATCCCCAGACAGAAATCCTTTAAAGTTTTTTCAAAGCAACTCCGTTTACTGTTGTGCATTTGTAGTGCTTCAAAAATTCCATGTTCAATTGCAACGTGACCCTTGATCGTAATATTCTTCTGAAAACCAAGCTTAGACGATTTGGTGTCGTTATTTCACTGAATGGAAGACCAACGCTTTGTAGGCCGATGAATTCGTGCCTGAGAATGCGGAATGTAAACACTAAACTGTAATTGTCGCATATGTCTATGCTCAGCTCTGGAAGCATTTCGTCTCAAATTCAGGGAACAGGCGTTTATGGGAGTAACTGCCTACTTGACTAGAACCGGTTTCAGTAGCAGTGTCAAGGGGTTTAAGGGTGTAAATAACCCCCATTTTATCAAAATACGGTCCACAGAGAAGATTTTTTCACATTCTGTAACAAGCTTAGCCCTCAGATGACCTGATATTAAAAAAACCATAGTACAGGTCACCCTCTTTTCTCTATGATCGAGAATCTTCCTCTTTACGATGGGACAAAAATGGTTCTTTTCGAAATTAGGCACCTATTTCCTCTTTAATTGACGTAGATGATAAAACAGGAATCTTTTGCGACTGATGAAAATTATTTCAAGCTTTTTAGCATCTGGTTTTCAAAAAAACCTTTAAGAAACTCCTAGCACTGAAATAAAAAAAAATCGAAACTAATCGAGCTTAGCATCTTATAAATATTTCGAGCAATTCTTTCAAGAATTAATAAAAATGAAAATGCATTGAGCAAGACAAAATTATTTGATCTTGGTAGGAATTGTAATGGCAAACATTTCCTTGGTATGTGGCGCTGTTTGAGAAAAAGGTTTGGTCAAACTGGTTGTGTCCATTTCCTCTCATTCTGCATTTGCTGCTGCAGTTGCTTGCCCAGCCATGATTGACTACCAGGTTGTGGCAGAAACAAATGATATCATTCACATAAGTATGAAAATATATGTAGGAAAAATGTGATTCCTTAAAAGTAACAATTTTGTAATTTTAGAAGACGTCTCAGACTGAGGTCTTTACACCAGACTTTACGCCCTTTTTCGTTGAGAAAATTACAGAAATAAAATATATTTCGACATTTGGACTTTCGTGCCAACATCCTCCCCTCAAATAAACTTGAACCAAGAACTATTGCGCAGAATTGTCTTCAAAAGGCATGGGTAAGGCATAAAGCGGTGGCCTGGTATTATAATTTAACGCCCAACTCATTTAATATCGGATATTTATCTATATATTTTTTGTGATCAATAAACAAATATGATCATCAACTTGCAAGAGTCAATCTTTGGAAAAAGCTTTTTTCTTCTTTGAAATTCTCGTTAGCATTAAAGTCATCAAATCTAAACAATGAATCATCTTTTTATAAGAGAGACTTACAGCATTTCATCAATTTGCTCCTTTAATAAATTCTTGAAATAATTTATTTAGTTAGCAGGAGACAGACATGTCGATTTATATTAGCAGAATCAGTCTTTTTGATCAAAATATTATCTGTTTTGCCTTAGGTTTTGGAGAACCACAATTGGTCAAAGAGCGAGTTGGGATTAAAATCCTCATTGAGCATCATAAAGGGGTTCTTCAACTTGGTTGTGGTGCAACTAGCCACAATCGTCTTAGGGCTGATGAAATGAGAAAAAGACTAATTGAAAATATCTGCGACGAGCTAGCCAACAACACCACAGGACAAATCTTAACATATGACAGTGAAACGCACCTTAAAAGGCAGGCAGTGACGCTCATAAAGTTACTAAGTCGAGCTCTATCGAAAGTAACAGGAAAGGTAAAAGGGACGTTACGGGGAAATCGAGGCAGCAAACGCCAATATTACTAAAATCGGGATTCAAAGAAAGTCGCCCGCTTGCCAGCAAACACAACATATACTTTAGTCTCTTTGGAGAAATTCAACATCGGATTGTGACAAAATAGAATACTAATAGTATGAGATGGGAATAAAAAGCATAGAAATGTTTGCGAACAAATAAAATAATAGCTTTAATTGATGACGTGTAAAGAAAAGTTTCAAATCACATCTACAAAAACCGGCCACATGCCAAAAGCTGTTCCTTTCAGCCAAAACTTCATTCAGCATCTCGACCTCGAGTTCGCCAGCACACCAAGGTTTTGGTTGTTGGCGAAGAAGAATAAGACAGCTTAATATTTTAAAAAGGAATCTTGGTTGTTTGCAGAAAAACCCGCCGAGCAGGCTTTGGGTCATATGTAAACCAAATATGCAAATAAACAAATCAACGTCCGATTCCTCTGTTTAAATATGCTCGAAATCATGACGGAACTAGTAATACTTTGCGACTATGATAAACAAGTCATCAATTAGGCCACGCTGCAATAGCGACGTGGAAATGATTCTGACTGAGCTCAAGCAACTTACCATGGTTAACAAAACTAACCACTGTATCAGCATTGGCAGCATTGGAATCATTGGCCGTCGTGTTCATCAACATGATTTCTTCGTTGCCGTTGTCGACAACCACTTCATTGCTCGTAACACTGTTGTACAAATCGATCATATATTTTCTGGCAGAAATTTCCTTCCCCGATTCCCTGTAAAACATACTTGGCCGTGGACGATGTTCCACACCAAAAATATCCAAAATCTCTTTTTGCAGATCGTTCTTTGCTTTCGTGCCCTCTTCTCCTCGGTTCAAAAATGGGTTCATAAACGCTGTATCTCCAAACATGGGGCTACAACTGCTACCCAGTATCACAGATAACAAAGCGAAAACGGGCAGTGCATTAGAGACCGTCATTGTGATAGTCGTATAGCAAAAGGGCTTCAAAGCCAGAGAGTCTGTCCTAGTGAACCTGAAGTGTCTTTCGTTTGAAATCGAGAATTGCGCGTGAAACCCAATACTGTGCTGAACGAATCTCCTGTATCCAGCTAGGTGTGAACTTGAGTAACACTTCCCCTCAAACTGTTGTGAGTATTAACACTTGTCAATCATCCTCACATTCTCCAATTTGAAGCGACATGCTAAGGTTGTTGCTCATTTAATGAATTCCGCCAAACTGTGCAAGCGAAATGAATCGACCTCGGTGATCAGCTAGCAACCCTAGACGCAAATCATTCCACTTATGCCGAAAGTCGAACAAACAGTTGCGGTCGACTTCGAATTACGAAAAACTAGCTCAGTATTTGGTCAGCGGAATGGGTCTGTTAGCAAGCATGGTGACCGAGACGGCTTTGCCAATGGCAACTTGTCTGCAGCATTTATTTCATTATTATCAGCATATAAAATTGTTATTGTCATAATGCTCCCCTGGATTGTTTTCCAATATGTTAGCTAATCGAGTCGTGGCCAGCAGAGCAGACGGCTTTGCTCCTTAAGCGGAAATCAACGCATTTTGTCATTTGAAAAACAGTGCACTGGCTGGTCAGGCATTTGCTCAAAATATCAATACGGTCCGCAGCCAATTGTACACTCTAAACATTTCAGTCATCCAAAATCAACACGAAAAAAATTTTTCAAGCACCTGAAGGCGTCCTGGGAGGCGTCCAGGACACTACAATTGGCTGCTGGCCAGGGGCGCCGGAAGCACAGGGGCAGCGGGGGCAGCTGTCCCCCTGCTCTGACTCTACGGGGCCAGCGGGGGCAGCGCTGTGCCCTTGTGAAAATTTCACTGTATTAATGCGAATAGAATAAAACAATATTGCTGTTGTGAACAAAAATAATCATTCGGTGCCCTTATTATGGATTCATCAGCAATTATGCAAATGAAGGAAATTACTGTAGAATAAGCTGTGATAATTTTGAACAGATAATGTGAAGTTTCGGGGGCTTCTTATATTCTTCTTCAACCCTTTTAAGTGTCTTATGGCTCCTGCCTATGAAACCAACTATGACATGTTTGAAGCGCAAAAACAGATTTTTATATCAAGGATGTTTTTTTTGTACAATTAAGTTTTGAATTGAGTCATACTGTATTCATTTCATTACTTGATCTTGGTGGACCTCCAGAAAACCAGCAGCAATTTACTTTTAAAATCAAATTGAGCTTCAGAAAGTCCAGCGTTCACTTAAAAGATGAGAACTGTATGCAAACCAAAGGCACGAGGGTTCCTAGTAAAGAGACAGTCATGATCAGAAATGTTCTTTCTTGTAGCTATGCAGGAATTGGCATCGCTGCTTGAAAATAACTCCAAGTCATTCCAGAGCCAAGCCCTAACAGCAGAACAAGCCCTCGTCAGCATTGATAAGCATTATGACTGTCTGCAAGAAGTTCGCTCAGATCAAGAGTTTTGCGTCAGGAAAAAAGAAATGCACATGTTTACCAGTTGTAAAAGGTCTCGACAAAGTGAGCGCTGCTAAGAGAAAGCGAACAGCACCGATACAGAATATCAAGGGCCATCAAGGACAAGTTGGCCTGTACATCCGACCTCATCAAACTGCCTACTTTGACAGAAGAGCTTAGAGAGCTACCCACATACATCCGTACCAAAGTACTACGTTATGTCATATTTCTGTTCTAATTTAAAATGAATTCTATTATATCTTATTTCATATTCTATTGGATGGTAGAAGGAAAAAAAAAGAGGCAAACCAGAGAAACAGTGGATAGATAACAGAAAAGAGTGGACAGTGCTGGAGATTGGTGAAATTATGAAGAAAGCCAGAGACAAAAAGAAGTAAAGGCTGATTGTGAGGAAAGAATTAGCCTGTGCTCCAGACCCTTGACCTGCACAGGCTAGGAAAGCATCTATATGTCCCTACGGTCGTTAGATTACGGGTTGATGTTGATGATTCTATTATATTATATTCTATTATAATTCTAATATTAGTCATTGATAATGTGCTCTTTTTGAGTTGCTGCCCCCGCCGCTTCAAAATGCTTCCGGCGCCCCAGCTGCTGGCCATAGGGTTCCAGTGCAAATCGAACCTCTCGTGGGCTCTCGTGGCATGACTTTTTGGGTTCAGACTTAGGGAAATAATGGCATTAAAAACACAAGAATAGGGATCGTTGTGCATTTTTGTGTACTAGCGGAAGGTCCAAGACTGTCAATTCTTGAACTTTTTCTAGGGATGGCAAAAGTATAGCAGGACAAATGCAGGAGAGTATTGATACGTCAAAAAATTGGAGGGGATGTCAACAAATTTTTGCCCGAATTTATCAGCTTTCCCTCGGAGGGTAACCAAGCCTAATTTTGGGCGGGAACGTGCCATTTTGATTAAAAAATGTAAACCCATAATTACGCACATGTCTGAAAAAATGTTACCCATAATTCCGCAAACATGATGGAAACTATACCCATAATTCCGCCATTCCGCAAAGCAAATAAATTTTTTAAGCATAACAAAACTACCAAACACTTTTTGCATGTCCTTTGCCCCAAAATCTCAATATTGCACATATTTCGCACTTTCATTTCTAATTGGACATTCATTTTGTTATTGCTAAATCGCTCTCCTAATAATTTTGCAATATTTTCCCAAAATGGTACCCATAATTCTGCATGTTTCTTCAAATGGTACTCATAGTTCCGCACAAAATTCAAAAACTGATACCGATAATTCCGCACTTTTTTAGAAAAATGTACCCCTAAATAATGGCACGTCCCCGTTCCTTCAAACGTGTAAAGGTACCCCCACCCTACCGAAGGCAGGAAGATGGTAAGCAAGAGAAGACATTTGGACCTTTATTGTGGTTACAACCTTGAACCACGCCCAGTTCTAATAGAAAATTGAGCTTTATTGTGAGAGACGTTTTGCCAAGAAAAAAGGTCATGGTACCTAAGGCTCTGCTAGCATGTATGGAATGTAGGAAACCTGTTTGAAAGATGGGCATGAAGCATTTGCTACCCGTCGGGCTCTATGGCAATGTGACCAAAATAGTACTTTTTGCCCCTCCCCTTCTGCCCCTCTGCCCTCTTATTCCAGCATCGCTGACCATTTCCGGTCTTTGTGGTTCTTGGAACACTACTAGAGACTTTCACCTTCAAAAAGATTGGAAGCTGGCTTTTCATTCATGCATTTGTTTTTGAAAAATTAATTCAATCATGCCTGAGATACGATATTTTGTAAGAAAAACTATAATCTTGAGCTTTCAGGATCGAGTTTAATTTCAAGTATCGAGAAAGAAAGTTAAAATTTTTGCAACTGTCGGACGTCATCATGAAAAAGGAAGAAGACTACAACAAACGCAGATTCACTTCCTTTCTATTTCTTTCTCTACTAATCCCTGGGGCATTTGATTGAAATAGTTAGAACGGAGACTATCATTGTAATTTGGTAGACCTGTAAAACGGAGACCTCAAAGCGGCCAACCTTACGGGCCCCCTAACAAACCTCCAAGTTTCATGGACTTTTCTTGTAGATTAAAAAAAATCAAAATCTTGGCTCAACAAATTGACAAATAAAGGTAAGCCCTTCTTCAGAAAAATAACTAGCAATCTAATGGCTATCTTCGCAGGTAGTAGCTAGGGATAACGTCTCATAGAAAACTACGGTTGCTTTGCTTTTTCCCATGAGTTGAAATCCCATACCAAAAATACAACTTAACCCCATTATACTCCCATTCCCACCTTCCGCGGCCGTAATTCCCTCGCTCTCCACCATCTGAAATGACTTCTCAGGACTAAGAGAATGTGTGTGAGTGACATGACCAGGGTACAAGTCGAGTCTGCGATCAGCGACAAAAAAAATATCCTTCATGCAGGCTACAAAAACACAATAACTTCTCCAAAATAATTTCAAAAAATGTTTACCATCGAGTTACGAATTTTTTTGCTACATAATATACAGGGAAGGGGATATTAATTCCAATATGATAAAAAAAGCTCGTGGTTGTGTGGTCATACACTCGGTTGCTAGGTATTCTCACCAAATTTGAATAAACTAAAAGAAGCTCTGGAGCCTAATTTGCGAATCGACAAGTTCTAAAAATGTTGTTGCTACTGTTGCTTCAATTAAAGATTTGTGATTTCAATGTGTGATTTGTGATTTCAATGGGTGATTTGTGATTTCAATGTGTGATTTGTCTTTATATACGCAATTATATAAACAGTTTATGACTAAAATGGGTTCAGCGAAAGAAGTAGTAGTAACATTAGTATTAGAACTAATAGTAACATCAGATGTACAAGAAGTAGTATTAGGAGAAGTTTTAGAAATAGTAGCAGCAGAGGAATAATAGTGCGTAGTAGAAGTAGTACAACTAACAGCAGTATGCAGAAGTAGTTGTTTAAGTAGAAGGTTTTAGAAACAGTAGCAGAAGAAGTAGTAGTCTTAGCAGTAAAGGACGTAGTATAGAAGTAGTAGTATTAGCAGTGGAACTAATAGCAGTATCTGTAGCAGACGCAGTAGTAGTTGAAGCATTGTACAGGTAGTAAAAGAAGCAGTAGAAAACACTGTAGAAATACTAGTAGTATATTCATAGACTTCATATAAGTATTACTATTTGATGCGACTAGCGGTTGATGCTCGAAATGGGAGAACCAATGGATTTTGTATGACATGCGACAATCATCGCAAACACGTTTACGTCACCGAGGTTTTCGAGGACAAAGACTGACCCGTTAGCACCTGAGATTCCAAAAGCATTGAATATATGCAATTCTCACGGCAAATGCATTTCATCGATTTTTTTTCTCTGGGGGTAAGTTTAAGGGTTTGTCGCGGAAATCATAGTTGAATGTTGTCAGGAATAGCAGGAAGGCTCATAGCCATTATGGATTCCCATATAAGACATTACATAAAAATTTCACGAAGCTTGCTTGGTTATATTAAGTTAGGGCTTGGTTATATTTTGAGCGTTCTTTTCAAATAGTTTATATAGTAGATACTAAACTTGAAATATTGTTTATTACCTTCCAGCTAGAAAGTCATCTTGTTTCATCGTATATCTACCTTTTAATGTGATGTTCGCTATAGATTTTCCTGCATACCCCCTTATTTACTGTTCACGTGACTATCATTGGACCAATCGAATCATCAGCAGCTCTGCATTCAATCATATTTGATATCAAAGAGTCTATGGAAATGTCGATAATATTAAGATTCGCTACGATTTGATGCTTGAGATTTTTCTCGCTTATCTTTGTTGACCCTCACTGCGAATATGGATTGCAAAGTGCTTGAAAGAACGAACTATCAGTTTTATTTCCATTTGATCGATTATTTCCATTCTTAATTCAATCCCGTTTCATTTTGGCTGTTTGCATTTACGAACAGTTACAATTTTCGCCACCGAACAATGTTCT